AGGGGGTATTAATGAAGTGACTTTCTTGGTTGTTCAGTACCGTTTTCATATCTCTGTTGTTTCAACTAAAACAGGTCCTTTTTTTTTGTGGAGGAGTCCGATGTCCATCAACCATTCCTCAAATTGTTCGTCAGGAAGGAGTATTTTGGCACTCAAATCCAGCAGAGTCATATCCTTTAAGGCTTTGTTTCTAATTCTTGCCATTTTGTGCTTATTGAATTAACGATAGCTTGGCTCATTTTTGGACTCCTTATAGGAACTTGAGGTTAATGAAAAAATTTAAAGGGGAGGGGGGAAATTTTATTCTAAAATTCTAAAGCTAAAAATTGAAATTGACAAGACAATGAAACAGGTGGTTGCCGTAAAATTTTTATGGTCACTCGGCCGCGATTAATAACCCCCCTCCCCTTTAAATTTTTCATTAACCTCAAGTTCCCTATAAGGAGTCCAAAATGAGCCAAGCTATCGTTAATTCAATAAGCACAAAATGGCAAGAATTAGAAACAATGCCTTAAAGGATATGACTCTGCTGGAGTTGAGTGCCAAACTCCTCCTTCCTGACGAACAATTTGAGGAATGGTTGATGGACATCGGACTCCTCCACAAAAAAGGACCTGTTTTGGATTGAAACAACAGAGATATGAAAACGGTACTGAACAACCAAGAAAGTCACTTGATTCTGTGTGTAAACCACTCACTTACAGGGTGACCAGAAATAACGGAATGTTTTTTGAGAACTATTAGAGAGAATACGGTATATATCTACATCGACTCGTCTATTCCAGAGGCTTGTTCACTATTTATGTAGATGTTTCTAATGAAATTTCACCGTACTCTGAATCAACAACCTTTAGAATCATCAACTGCAACATAGAAAGCGCGTAGACAGAGCTGATGAGCACGAAAAATCCAACAAAAACAACAACCAATCCGAAAATTAGCCAACGAGCTTTCTGTGCAACGAAGCGTTTCTTTGCTATTCTCTTCCTATTGTAGTATAGGGATTTCTCTTCATTTTCTCTCGATCTCTCGATCATTTTAGGCGACGCTCAGGGTGCACTACGGCATATATTTAAAGTTTAAAGTTTATTTAAAGTGAGAAAATACGGCATATATTTAAAGTCCATATATAAAAACGTAAAAACATTCATTTCTATTTCTGTTGATCTAAACATTTAAATGCAAATTGCTATAGTCGTATGTAAATACTGGAAATGGAGTCTTGGATGTAAATTTACAAAAGCATCTCCTAATCCACATGTACTGAATGAATTTTTGAAGAAGTAGTAAAATTTTTGATATTCATCTAATTCAATACTCGAAATTCGAGTTTTCATATATCTACCATTCTTGGATCGATCTTAATTCTGCCTTGCCGTAAAAAAAATAGATTTTGCTTGAATATTTATTTGAAAACGTTAATAGTGACGCTATTTTGGTGGATGATGCAGGGTTCTTCTGTTTTGCGTTGGTATTTATATTGACGTTTACATTGACGTTGACATTGACGTTGACATTGACGTTGACATTGACGTTGACATTGACGTTGACATTGACGTTGACATTGACGTTTATATTGACGTTTATATTGACGTTTATATTGACGTTTATATTGACGTTTACATTGGGTACTTTACGTATGGCTCCGCACTTGTTTCTCGTCTCTTCGCAACAGATAAATCGTGATGAGCCTAATAAAGAAAAACAAGCTTATTACTTTACCAAAAATGAAAACAAAAGCAAAACAGGAAGTGATTTGTACCCGTGATACAGCTGGCAGCCGGAGTACATGAGCCAATTCACGAAATAATAGGCAAAGTCGGCAATTTCCGGAGAAGAATCCATTGTGGCCAACCAGAGAAACGGACACACGACATGGCATAGAGTGAATGGAACGTTGTTAGCCGAAATCTGCAAACGAGTGGACGAGTACAGTCGACGCTCGATAGTAAAACGTTGAAGGGATTCTCGAAAAATGATTTACTATCGAGCGTGATTTACTAATCAGTCCTAAAAACATCAAAAACACTGTGAATAAGCTGTCAAATAACATTTTGTGGCTTTAAAACGACATTTAAATGCTTAAACACTAGTAAACACTAGATTTTGCAGGAATACAACTTTTCAAAACTGTTTTTAATGACTAGAAAATTAGAATAGCAGCTGATTGTAAGCAACAGTGTAAGCAGTTGCATATAAGCATATAAGCAACAGCATATAAGCAGTTGTAAACTTTTATAGTAAAATGGCAAAAGTTAGTGATTTACTATGAGATTTACTTACTGAAAAAAACTCTTAATAAATAAGTAATGAAATGGAAATGAGGGTATTTTCCATTTTTGCGCAACAGGGTCATTTGCGCAACTGGGTCGTTTGCGCAACTCGCCATAACTTTCTTCTAAGTGAACCAATCTTTATGATTTTGGTTTCATTTTGTAGATCTCAATAAGTGTAACAAAATGAAACCAAAATCATAAAGATTGGTTCACTTAGAAGAAAGTTATGGCGAGTTGCGCAAACGACCCAGTTGCGCAAATGACCCTGTTGCGCAAAAAAAATTGCGGAAACTAGCCTACCCCGGAAATGAAATTTGAATGAATGAATTTGCTGTTGAATGCTCTTTTTCGCTTTCGGTTTCAATCGTTTAGCTGAATATTTTGCAGCTGAAAATGCAAAATTTTGGCTTAAAAATCAATGATTTACTATCAAGCGTTAAATAAACGTGTTTACCATTGGAGGGATTCTCCAAAAGTGTTTTACTATCGAGCGTGATTTACTATCGAGCTTCTTGCCCTTGTATTTTCTGAAGCGTTTTGTCGGGAGTTTTCAAAATTGATTTAGTATTGAGCGTGATTTACTATCGAGCGTCGACTGGACTTATGGACGCCGATTGCCCCCAAATTGGTGGGTAGGTAGAATCGACTCTGGGGAACAGCATATGAAAAATTCAGCTGCAAAGCTCCAAGATTACGGTAGTTATAATGTTTTTAATATTTGGTAAGATAATGGGGTTTTTCTCTCCGCAACGATATTGGGGCTAGGAGCACGATAGATTCACTGCGCGGTGGTGTAGTCTCCAAAAGTGATTTAGTGTCGAGCGTGATTTAATATCAAGTGATTTACTATCGAGCTTTTTGCCCTTGTATTTTCTTAGGCGTTTTGTCGGGAGTTTTCAAAAATGATCTACTATCGAGCGTGATTTACTGATTGCCCTTTGCTCTAGATTTCGACTTCCAGGCATCGGAAAAACTTGCGGTTTGTTTCAAAAGAATCCTCATCAAATTTGGCTAAAGAAAAGTGCAATTTGTTTAACATACTCACCTGTAAGAAGATAGAGAAAAACGGCTATGATACAATAACATTGTTGTAATGAAATGGATCCGAAAAAGACGCATTACCTGTGCCAAGAGAAATTGTCCACTCGCATAGTCCACTTCTCTCTTCGTCTTCTATATTGAAAAATGTTTGTGTGAGTTAAAAATTGAATAAAATATTTGAAAAACAAAAATCCAATGCTGGTTTTGATAAGAACAAGGAAAGGATTTTAGTAAGGGTTTTAAAGAAGAATTATTTTGTTTAAAGCTAGTCTCATTTCTCGAACTCACAATCATTTTGTAAATTAGCATGGCGTCGAGCGAAATCGTTCCTGCTACCAAAATGATCCGGCAGGGATGACGGGGAACTGGAAATTTTTCTAGTTAATTCTGTGATCTGTCTAGATTTGTTTAAATGAAATCCGATCCTAATTTGAAACTTTGAAACACTTTATTTTCTTTCATTTATCAGCTTACCTACAACTTTTGATCCACGCACGATTTCACCGGGTGAAACTAAAAAAAAACAATTACGCATAAAGTGAACTCATTCCAAATTTGAGTACTCTTGTAAATTTCAAATTAACGAACAAAGCTTTTAAAGCTTTCAATAAGTAAAGCTTCAGTAAAGCTGTAAAACGAAAACTTCTGTGTTTCTTAAATAACAAACTGATTCGATCAAGCCACTGATATGAGATGAAACCAAGACAACACGGGATTCCAACTTGAAACCAATGATACTTTTGTACTCGATGATAATAGTAACCCTTGTAGGAAAGAGAAAGGAAACGATTCAACGATAGGGCTGCAAAGTAATTTCAACGTTTACTGAATCTCAAAATTTCAACGTTTACTAAAGAAATTCGTCTAAATTCGTCTAAATTCGTTAAAAATGGCAGCGATCCGCAGAAAGGCCAGCTAGAGTTCATTTGCGAGCTTGGTAGTTGAATTGCAATTTTATAATTTGAAAGTTTCACGATAGATAAATGTAGCCAAGATTCAAGCCTTCAATTCTCTCTATAACACTTCGTACTTTTGAATTAAATTTGACTTTAAAATCACTTTAAAATCACTTTAAAATCAACTTAGACTTCTAAATTTGAATTTGACCTTTGACAACTACATTACCAAAATGATATGTCAATAATTGTTTGATCACCCTGTACAAAACATTTTAAAAATATAATCTCAGTTAAACCTATTTGCAAATATTCGGAGATATAAAGACATGGTCCGAAGAATATTTGAGCGTATACGTACAGTTGATTGAGCAAACCAATGCAGCTCACAGATGGAAGGCTAAAATCGGTGCTTTGAACCACGTTTTACCAACTAACTTTATTTTTAATTAACAACTTTAATTAGCAGCAGTCTAACAAGTTTCAGTAAACGTAGAAATTTCGTTTACTTTTACGTTTAAACTAGAAAGTTAAAGAGCTAATTGAATTCATTTTAAAGTTGGCAAGAAAGTCTTTTCGCTCTCAAATTTTTCAACCAAAGCAGCTACAAAAGTTTTGGTTAAAATTAAAGATCAATATCTTAAACTAAAAACAGCAGCACCATTTTTTATTTTGAGAAGTTTTGATATTAGGGTGGTGCAAAAGAAACTGCCGATTTGACGGTAAAATAAAAAAAAAGATGGCATTCGATGGTGACATGATCACAGTGGAATATTTTCGCAAGATTTCAAGCAGATTGGCATGGATCGGCCTGAATAACGTCCCTCAGCTTGGCTTCGTTCACGACTTCTGGCCTCGAACCGTGCTCGTAATCTTCCAAAGCCTCGTCTCCCTTTCGGAATCATTGAAACCAAGTCTGACACTGCCTGAGAGACAAACAGCCATCTCCGAAAGATGCACAGAGAGAACGATGCGACTCGGCAGCAGACTTTCCAATTTTGAAGTTAAACAGTAATGCTGCTCGTAGCACAAACTTTTGCTCGACCACGATCTAAATAAAAAATTTAAGCATTTTTAAATAAAATAAACAACAACCAAAAAATTCAAATGTCGAAATAAATAACAAACAAATATGCGAAAAAAACATAGTCTCTGATAAATGAGAGCTGATACCCAACGGCAGTTTCTTTTGCACCACCCTAATAGAAGAAATGATTGAGCATGAGTACCGAGTTAAATTTAATGTTTTCCGAGTTCAAGTTCTTTCGATTTATCAAAATAAAATGTATAAAAAAACGCGAAAAGACTTGTTTGCCAATCTAATAAATATTGAAAATGAACTTACAATTTCGGAAAAACACAGTAGAAGGCAATGACGAGGAGGAGAGAGGCAAAAATTCTCGCCACCGAATCGGCGATCATTAAAAAGGCGACGGCTGATGGGAGAAGAATCGACTTCCAACAAAACCACGCACTCGCCACACTCACAAACGTTGAAGCAATTGAACACTGAAGTCTATTTTTGGTGTCTTACAGCAAAATTCAGCTTTTAACATTCAGCTTTTATTCAGCTTTTATGATTTTTCTACCCACCACAAACTGAATGCAAGTAAACGTGTGATGGAGATCGGGGAATCGACTCGTTGCCTCGATAATCAAGAACAAGTCGAACACGTTGGGAAGAGTGAAGAAGATGACGGCCAAAACAGCTAAAGAAATAGTCGCTAAAGAAATTTTCTACCAATCGTCCCAATTGGTAGAAAAAGCGATTACCGTTGATTGTTAAAAATGCGACGATGATGATTGTGCTCTCTGAGCAAAATTCGCTCCTCGACAACTGATTTCTCGTGGTAAGTGGGGAAGAGTTTATCGGAACTATTGACATCACCAAAATATCATTTGGAAGTTTAAGAATTTGAAGTCAAAAAACTAGATTGAGATTTAGAAAAGAAAATTTTTTGAAGAGTTCTTGGGTAAATTCTCTCAAAAGTAGGTAATAAATGGGCAATTACAAAAGGGACTTTTGTCGCAAATAGGCGGTTTACTGAGATTTGTTCCCGCACTTGCGAAATAGTAATAGTCTAGGTTTAGCTCAAGTTATCGTTTTATCAAGTCTCAAGCTCAAGTTATCATGTCTCAAGCTCAAGTTATCAAGTCTCAAGTTCAAGTTATCATGTCTCAAGTCTCAAGTTATCGGTTTGCTCTAGAATCTCTGCAGTTTTATCGTTGATAAAGTTTTTCGAATGGCAGACACGTTGATCTGATATTAGATAGCTGCAAAAGAAAATGCGGTCCAGAAAAGACACCATAGTAAAGACGGTCAGTAAAGATGATCTTGGTTGATTAGTATTTTTAGAAACACCAAGATCTTCTCTTTTTAACGAAATAAAAACAATTCTGCAGTAATCGTTTCTGGGTGTTTCTGGCTTTACTAAATACAGCATCGGAATCTGCTTCTGAAAATTCTGCATCAGATGGTCTAGGTCTCATTTTTCATCTCCACATCACCCTCGTGACCTTCCCTTGTAAGCAAGAGAGCGGCCCCAGGTTGAACGCCAAGATCAGCCAAACTCAGTGCATCATTCACAAGAAGAGCCTTTCCTGTAATTTTCTCTGTCTGCAGAAGAGGTAGTAGAACTCTGGGAGAGTTTTCATATTCAGTTTTTACAAATGTTTAATGAAGACAGACAGATTCGATAAAAGTTTAGTAGCCTAGGTCTAGCCAATATTCAACCGTCCCCAAAAAAAGCAACTGCTAATCAGACGAATTGACGACTTAATTGACGACAAGTTGATACGTTAATTCGATCGACGATTTTCTCCTTTGAATTCGCCAACGATTCTGTCAAATCCAATCGATTGTGGCCAGATATTAGATCTATTAGATCTACTAGGCCTATTAGATCGATTAGAGCTATTAGATGCTTTAGACCTATTAGATCTATTAGACCTATTAGATCGATTAGACCTATTAGATCTATTAGACCTATTAGATCTATTAGACCTATTAGATCTATTAGACCTATTAGATCTATTAGACCTATTAGATCTATTAGACCTATTAGATCTATTAGACCTATTAGATCTATTAGACCTATAACAGGCCTATAACAAACCTATAACAGGCCTATAATAAACCTATAATAAACCTATTAGATCTACTATACCTATTAGATCTATCAGACCTATCACCTATCAGAAATTCGCCAATGATTCTGTCAAATCCAATTGATTGTGGCCAGATATTCGCAGTCTCACTCAAGATTTTCAGTCAATAAATAGCAAAAATGGTATTTATACTTTTGATAAGCGTGTCATGCTGAGATGAGGGAAAACACTAACTCTTCATTTTCTGCGGTAAGCAATGCCACAAAAAAAGCAAGTCAGGTACACGATCAGCATATAAAACGACCTGTTAACAGCAGTGTGCTTGAAAAGCAAAGAAAAGCAGTTTAGGTTACGATCAAACGAAAAAATTAGTCCAAAACGTGAGAGCTATTGAGTCATTTTCTGTATCCTAAACTTTTTCCTTGATCGGTTTTGTGTTGAGAGTTATTTTGGTCTGTAAAGGTTCTGGTAACGTTGTCATTTCAAACTGAACAATAATTTGTAAACACTTTAATTTGCATTTTTGGATTTATTAGATTTTTGTCTAAAGATTTACATGACAAGAAGATTTGTTTGAAAATTTATTTTTCCGAGATTCGTTGAGCAATCGTTTCCAACTGATGCTGGTCATTGTTCCCAAAAATCGCCACAATAAGACTTAAATTTTTGCTTGTATCTCGAAAATATCCAAATGATTCAGCGGAATTGAAATTAAAATGAAAACTGGGAGAGTTTCTTTTATTTTCCTTCACAGCTTCTATCAATTGTTGGAATGGTTTCAATTTTTGAGGTTTTTCTGTTTTCTCGTCGATGCGATCGATTTCGAATTGGTTTCCCAAAATCTCAACAGTAATCTGGAATAAATTTCCGATATCATCGTCACACTTCAGTGAGAAGACGAAAATAATTAACTCATTCCGCAAAATTGTTCGCATATTGGTGAGAACGTGAAAGAATTTTTCTTTGATGGCAAATTCGTGAGTGGAGATCTTGAGGCTACAGTTGCTAAAAGCCGCTTTCTCGAAAACTTTCCGATATTCTTCGACTGCCAACACTTTATGCGGCCTGATGGATATCTCTTGATCAACCGACATCGCTGGATTCCAGTCGACAATGATTTTCTCCACCGGGATTACCCCGTAGAAATGCTGAGTTTCTTGAAGTTCCAACTTGGCCACGTGTCGAATGGAATCCAAAACGCGCAAAAATTCGATCATTCGACTCACTGGCATGTTGTCAAGCCAGAAATTGAGTCTCAACGATTTACAAGAACGAATCTTTGACAAAACGAGGCGATAATATCGAGTCTCAAAGGGAATCAAGTTCTCCAGATTGATTAGACTGAATTTCTTGTTTTCATTCGCGAAAATCCCTTCAGACATTGTGATAGGGCACTCATTTGTTAGATCGAAATTTAAATTGAGACTGACAATTTGTTCTGGTAGTATTCCACGTAATAAGTAATGTTTTCGAAGAGATTTATTTGCTTTCAAGCATTGAACGGCTTCTGGTGGTAAAACAAAATCAAGAATTTTTCTTTTTAGCTCTTTTGGAATGAAAGATAATGGGAAATGGGTAATTGGCAACATTTAAGCAAATAAAGAGAAGCTCAAAAAGTTTTCTTTTGGTAAGATAATATATTTCTGTGAGTCTCCCTGTTTTACAAAGCGGTTGTCGGGGGCAACCGGTGCGGTGAAATGAAAATGGAAAGAAAAACTTTCTTTTTAAAACTCAAAAGGACTCAAAAGTGCTTCAGAATATATCAAAATTGCAAATTTTCATAATAAAGCTAGAAAAAGTCTTGTTTATTTTGAGCTTATTTCAATTAAGATCATGACTGACAAGGGAAGATCAACTGGGAAGATCAACTGGGAAGATCAACTGGGAAGATCAACTGACTGAGCCGGCCAAATGACATGCAACCTGTACCATTTGACGCAGAATTCCAAGCTGATTCCGAATCTGCTTTCTGTTTTTATTAAACGACACTCTGTCAAAAGTTATAAGCGTCTAAAGTTATAAACGTCTAAAGTTTTGTTAGGACTCTGAAAATTGAGATTTTCTGTACATTCTACCGTAGGCTGTTTGACGCCTTTCCTAAAACGCGGCTTTGGTGGTATAAAATGAGAGAAGTGAGAAAGAATTTCATTCTGGTCAATCGTGTTGCAAAGTAAGGTGGATGACCCGTCCACCTGGCGCAAAGGCAGATCACTAGATGAGAAGGGGTCAATAGTGCAGAAATCATAGGAAGACTTCGCCCAATCGCTGAGGATAGTCACCACAAGAATCGTATCAAGAACATCAACAAATAGACTAGGCTCCGGCCACAAACCTTTTAGGCATGCTCGGCTACAGCCCGAAGACTTTATTTTGAGTAACAAATAGCATTTAACAAGTGTCAATTGTAACCAATTTTTGATCGTTTTCGAAGTGATTAACATCTTTCGAGTCGAATCCGTTTATCGTTGTCCATCTTTTTCCCGGATGCAGAGCTTAGAAAACTATGGACGACTTACCGGAAAGATCAAAGGTGCTATTGTAAAGATCAGTGACGCCGCTAGAACTTTTCCCGGAGCATAGCATAGCATAGCATCAGTCCTGCATGTTCTTTGCTCTATGGGAAGGTGCGGAGTCTTGTTGAAAAGTCCAAACTTGATTTCCGAATTGCTTTTGGGCCCAGGGAAGAACGATATCTTTAAGTATTTCCTTTCGATAAACATCTTTATTGATTTTTACTCCGGAATCAATAAAAACCAAAGAGATTTTCGATGCTGAAGGTGAAGGGAGTAAGTCAATCAAAAAGTTTCAAGCGGTACAGGTGCTTTGCTTCCGGTGACACGAGCCTTGAAGACTCACCTTGAAGACGTTCCGGTCGACCGCCAAAGTTGGATGATGATGATGTCTTTTGAAGTCATTAGAAGAAGTTGAAGAAGTTGAAGATGTTGAAGAAGCTTGCCAAGAGTTCTTTGATTCGAAACCGAAGGAGTGGCGCTTCGACCAGATCCGAAAGCTTGCAGATCGATGGCAGAAAGTCGTAGCTAATGATGGGCTATACTTTGAGGAATAGTTGTTCTTATTTTTGTTATTAAATTAAAAATTGAATTTTTCGCAGCTGAGTCAGGACTTCCTCAACCTAATAGTATAATTTTTTTTGGATACATTGTTTTCATCTTGCGGTTTTTCACAATAGCTGGTTTGTCGACCTTTTGAGCTTTTCAATTGTGTGTTTAGCGGAGAAAATCGACTCTTAATATGTTGATGTTAACTGTTTTTATGTCAACTGGTTCGATCGATGTTTATTATTGCGGCCATGTTCTCATTGGTGCTTTTCTATGCGTACACGGGAGTGATTCTCTTTCGGATATGGGAAAGCTGTGAGCAATCAACTATGGGAAAGCTCTGAGCAAGTGAGACTAGACATGGGCACTATAGACTACAAAAATCACCATAACAAACAAACAAACAAACAAACATTACGGCTTTCCACGCTTCACTAAGTAGCTTCACTAAGTAGCTTCACTAAGTAGCTGAATTCTAAAATGCGTCAGTTTAAAATTCTAAAATCAAAAATCAAAGGATAGGGCCGTTTCTGAATTAGCCGACAAATTCCATCTTTCCTACGAAACGATCCCTTCGATTTTACGTAAAAAAGAAACGAAAATTGATAGTACACAACCTATGAAAATTGATAAGAATTCAACCGAGGAAGAAGGTAATTAGTTTGAGTTCATTTTCGGATTCAGCATATTTTTCTGCGTCCATAAAAATATGAAAGTTCTAGAGAAATAGAAATGCTATAGAAAACACATTTTCGTGCAGATGTAGAATAGGCTCACAAACTCTAAAAGTTGAGATCAGTCGGGGATTAAGTGAAATCGTTTCTTATCAACTTCCCTCGCCCATCACTCCACAGCAAAGTGCACAGAAAATCGTTGATCAGCTCAGTCTCTGCTCTTGATACTTTGTGACAAAGCAATGTGAACAAATTATCGAAGAATCTAGTGACAAAGCCCTTAGGATTAAAAATTCGGAGTCTGTGACCGGAAATTTTGTACTTAAATGAGTCGGTGAATGGGCCAGAAGGAAAAACAGCTGCCTTTTTTATTAGAAATCTTTTTGTCTAATCATTTTTTCTATTTTTCCATCAATAAATTGTTAAAGATTGAGTACTTCCGGTTATAAATCCGCACCCGTTTACGTACATTAACGTACAGGAGGTCCCAAAAACCGGGTCAAATTTTAAAAATATTTCAGGTGGCTCATGGTAGTAGATATGGTGCGAAAATGATTTTTTTACGAAATTTAGATGTTTTTTCATGATTTTTACCATATCATGACTTCCAATACATGAAATTTCTGAGCCACCACGTTTCCATCTAGTCACAAAGCGTTTAGGATTAAAAATTCGGAGTCTGTGACCGGGGAATTTTGTGGTGCCACCATTTGGGCCACGACTTTGGGCAACGAGCCACGACCATGAGACTTTTGCCATAAAATTAAAACTCTTTACTGGCATCGTGGTGTCATATTAGAGTTATTATATAAACTAAGATTTTTAGCTAAAAACTTAATTCATTATATGATAATCTTTCATACATAATAGATTTTCAACTCGCCTTTGTTTAAAGAAGTCCCCCGTTTTTCCAAGGAAACGCTGACCAATAAAGTGTATTGTTTTACACTTTATTGGTTTTAAGTTATCCTAATAGTGTTTATTATGCACCACCCTTTTATACGAGAAATTTCTGAGCCACCATGGTCACAACCACCATGAGACTTTTGTCATAAAATTAAAACTTTCTACTAGCATCGTGGTGTCATATCAGAGTTATTATATAAACTAAGATTTTTAGCTAAAAACTTTATTCATCTTCATTAGATGATAATCTGCCGTACATAAGAGATTTTCAACTCGTCTTTGTTTAAAGAAATATCCCGTTTTTTTCAAGGAAACGCTGATCAATTTTTGTCAGATTTTGTTTTGGATTTCAGTAGAATTTTCCCTAATTATTCGATCTCAATCCGATAATTGTGTTCTCTCGAGACAGCCTATATTCAGAATGTTCAAACTGATCGCCGTTTTGTTCGCCGCCTCTCTCCTCCTTCTCTCATTCACAACTGCACTTCCCGTTGATGGGCTTCCTGCTGGAAAAGCGCAGGTTCATTTTTATGCATTTTGTTTTTGTTTTTATGCAGGTTTGACTAGCAACAGTTATAAAAAGTGCGGTTTTTAACAGTCAAAATGTCATGAGTTTCTATGAAAGAAGTTAGCACCAACAGATAGTGCTTTAGTGCATTTCTCAAATTTCTTAACATAACCTCAATCGTTTGTGATGTTTAGTATGGAGGTGGGAGTGCGTGTAACCCAAATCCGTGTCCAACAGCCTACTGTACAACTCAATGCAAGAGCAGCTACGGCGTCGACTATTGTATCCCGGTTTGTCAAGGACCATGCCATGGCTACGGGTGTTGATCGAAAGCGCTGTTGAAAACAATAAATAATATGAATAAACATATGAAGACAAGGCAATTAACATCTACTAGATGTAAACAGATGTCACAATTCAAGTCATAGCGTCACAATTCAAGCCATAGCGTTACAATTCAAGTTATAGCGTCACAATTCGAGGCATAGCGTCACAATTCGAGTCATAGCGTCACAATTCGAGTCGTAGCGTCACAATTCGAGGCATAGCGTCACAATTCGAGTCATAGCATCAAAATTCGAGTCATAGCGTCACAACTCAAGTCATAGCATGAACGCATTTGATTTGAAACACTTGTTAAAGATGGTGTGAACGCGAATGAAATAATATTCTGAAAAGTTGATAACAACTTTAGGTGGATATTGTCTTATACTTAAAAAAAACAAAGTACTTCTTTCAACTGAACTTAATTCTCGCTAAAAAGCTAACTGAATCGTACAGGATGCGCTTTAGGAAATAATTTTTCTTGTTAAAAGTGAATACTGTCGATTTTCTCCTATAACAGCTATCGAAAATACATCTTACGAATTATTTACGAATTATCAATAGTCTACAATTTACAAGAAAGTAACAATTGAGTCAAGTCAAGAAAGTAACAATTGCAACAATTGCAGACATAATTTATGAACTTTTCAATTTTCTTTTTTAATAGAATCAAATAGTGAATCATCATCATGACCATCAGTTGCCTTTTGTTTTCGATTTTTTTGTTTCATAGAATCAATTGTTCATGATCAAAAATGAAGATTTCCAAAGAAGATAACTCATTTTATTTACAAATTTCGTTTCAATAGCAAATTTCTAATAAAAAGCATGTGTTTTATGAAGAAATCGATAACTTCAAGTCAAAATTATTCAATCAACACTCAAAGGTAACTTTTTTTTTCTAGTTTCATTCGTTTTGTGTTTTTCTTTACAATAAAGCAATTAGCTAATACTAATTTATGCAATTTCTTGAAACAATTATTGCATAATAGAATAACGAATGATGCTATGACATTGAGATTCCTGTAAAAACGACGGATTCCGTTTAAAATTAACGTATTTCTGGGCTGGCGACAAACTTTGAGCTACTTTATCACAATTGTATTGGGTTGGTGAATTGAAAACTGCGGGACTTTGAACTAAAATTTATTCAACATAAAACCATAAATTCATTCCAAATAATTTCCATTATTATTGACGACTTGTGCCCATTTTACAGGCAATTTGCGGATTCCTCTTTCGTGGTAGGATTTTGGTTTGTGTGTGAGACAAGTGTGAGACTCAAAAATGGAGGCCTGGAGATGTCCCAGTTTGAGCACTTTCTTCAAAAGAAACCCATTTTGGTGTCAATAGAAAAGTTGTAGAGAATCAAAAATTAGGCTTATAGCCAAATTTCCAAAAAGATACACTTAGTAGTTTCGCTTAAAATGCAAGTTTTGTGAAAATTCGTAAATTTGGCATTTCTTGAAAACCAGTTTTTGAATCGTTCTGAAAATTTGGATATAAGCTTGATTTTTGATTCTCTACAACTTTTCCATTGACACCAAAATGGGTTTCTTTTGAAGAAAGTGCTCAAACTGTCACATATGACAATAGCCGACAGTTTTCAATTCACCAACCCAATAGATTTGTAATTGAGATTCGTAATTTAGATTTGTAATTTAGATGAAATCCATCCTCGTAGCATTCTTCATGATTCAAGTCTCCCTAGCTATCAACTGTGTTGTCAAAATTGGAGCAAGTCCAAAACTTTCACCTAATTCGGTATCATTACTCATTTACAGTAGTTAATCTAAACATAAACCAACATTTTAGCCATCGATGAAATGTGTATGCGGTGATTACTGTGCCTCGTTTTTCTCCAATGTAAAGAGTTTCGCTTTTTCTGATGAAATGTCCTTGTTTTCAGGGTTTATACTATTGGGGTTGTGGTTGTGGATCCACTCAGACTGGAGAACTTTTTAATGGATGTCTGGTCAGGGATTTTATAGCTAGATAGCTTTTATAGCTAGCTATTTTATAGCGAAATTATAGCTAAACACGAATAAAAATATTTGGAACAAATAACACATAAAACTCAAGCAATTTTTAGTACAGCGGCGACAACTACGAGGTCAACTGTTGCCCTGGCGATTTCTGCAACAAGAAGGATCAAATTGGACCCAAACAAGCAAGCAACAAAAACCATTTGATTAAGCTACTCAAAATTTGATGAGTTAATAAAGTTTTTTTTTATTGCTAGAGAGCTCAAAAAAAGCTCAAGATCAGTAATCTCTTGCCACATTTTTCAATGAATAGAACAAAACTAAACATTAACAAATTGAGGATAAAAATTGACCAATAATCTCTAGTCTCTTCAATGTTTTATTGAATCGAATCGTTTAATGAACAGAATCATCAACCTAAAAACAATTGTGCTTTCAAGAGGTTTTTCAGAAAAAAAAAATTACTCATTTCTATTCGCGATTCAGAGTTTCAATAAACAACTCTTTGCTTTGTTTCTCGAGCTCTTCCTTTTGCTGGCACCATTGTTGAATGTTTTGACGATTGACTCCAAATTTATCCTTCATTCTTTTGGCAAAATCGAGCTTTCAGCTTTGTTTGAACATCGAAACATTGTCGCTTTTTCGCGGATAGTGCTCCGATTTGCCAAAGACTTCTCGGCAACATCGTTGGTCATGTTGCAGCTAGCATCTTGCTCGGCCACTTGATTGTCAATCCTCTTGAAGAACCCCTCGTGGGTTAGCTGGGTTGGATGCTTAAGGTTGGGCTACCTACGCCGCCACGATTGCCATTCAATCGTAGTTTACCCTAAACGATTGTCTACGATTGCCATTCAATCGTGGTTTACCCTAAACGATTGCCTACGATTGCCTACGATTGCCTACGATTGCCTACGATTGCCTACGATTGCCATTCAATCGTAGTTTACAGTTTACCCTAAACCCTAGGTAAAAACCAACCCCAACTTTTGTAAATTCAGATGTTAACAATAGAGTTAAAATTTTTAAACAACTAAAACACAAAACATTTGTTCAGGTCGAAATCCCGAAAATAACTATGGAAACGGGAAACCATGTGGTTATTATGCGTGTTTCAATGACGGGACAAACGATGAATGCTATGTGGCAGAGGCCGTCTATGCACCAAAACCCGAAACCGTCAACTCGACTGTCAGAGGATGTGCGTTCAAATTCAAAAAAGAAATGAAAGAAATCGTAAAACGCTGTATTCTAACAAATCTGGGCTCTTCCTTGGTCTAGCGGATCTTTGAAAACAAAAAAAAAGTAAGAAATTTTGAAGGAAAACGGGTCTTCCTGTCACCAAGTTGTTAACGTATTCTAGTAAGCAAAACCAATAAATTTTATAACTACAAAATAAACGTGAGAGTAATTCTTTAGCTTTTCTACATAGCATTATATCAATAGAAGAAATTCAAGAAAGAAAAATTATAAATAAATATTTCAAGTGGCTATCGCTGCCCGTTGCCCCAAGGACTACACATTTTATAACGATGATGAAGTGAACAAATGCTACTGTATTGATATCAGCTCAAATCCCCACGAGGAGTAAGTTCATTGGCTTCACCACTCTGGGATGTGATAATGTTGCTATTTTTTTGTAAAAGCTTTTTTATGATGCTTTTTTAGATGGGTCGTGTTAGATGTTTTAGATGTTTTTAGACCCCCCCTTTCCCCCCCACAACCATTCCCAGCAAACAAAGGCGAAAAGTAGGCCGGCACCCGAACGCCTTTTCCTTTCCTGCGTCTTCTAGCTTTTTTTTTTCGCCCCGGGGTTCGCTGTCCCCATTTTTGTTTCCTTTTTGTTTTTTTTAGATGTGTTTATCTCGTGCCCCTATCGCCGCAATTTGTGTGCCAAATCGTGCAACTATTGCCTTTAAACGAAACAACAACAGCTAGGAGTCAAATTGTTGTTCTTGATTGTTAGTAAAGCATATTTTAACTTCAAAGTTATACAAAAAAAGCAACTTCAACTCAAAAAGAAAGCTAAAAACAAAGCAAGCGTTCATTAAGAGAGAATTTGAGCTAAAAGACAAAGATCGGTGATGAACGCACGGGAAAACAATGATTTGATAGAAAGAATAAATCTATCGACAAAATTTTTTGATCTATAGTGTTTGAAAATCATTTGATTTCAAGATGTGGGCACTTTTCCTTCACGTAATTCCAACGTTGATTCGTGGCCTCGTTTTTGCAGCCACGAGGACCTCAATTAAGTTGTATAGTCACTTTATTTAACTTATTTATCAATTATAATTTAAGTTATTAAACGCGATAGGAATTTCTTTGTATATGTCGTAGCCGATTATGAATTTCAGCCGATTATGAATGAGTGGGTCCGGAGGCGTTCAACCATCAATTATTTGGTATCATTCAACGCAGAATCATTAATAATTATGTTACATTTTTTAAATTAGAAAGATTGGATAAAAAGAAAAAAAAATTATGGGGCGTCAAAGTTTTCTCTTGAACAAACAGTTTTTGTGTTCTAATTTTTTTTTCTTTTTATCAAATCTTGCTAATTTAAAAAATTTAACATAATTATCAATGATTCTGCGTTGAATGATACTAAATACTTGATGGTTGAACGCCTCCGGACCCACTCATTCATAATCGGCTACGAGAGTTTCGCCGATTTTGAATGAAACGTTGTAGCGCCGGCAATTTTTAACCTAAACTCACAAATTTGGTACCAATCGACGCAGAATTTAATTCGCTACAAAATTATATAATATTGTCCTCATACATTAGAGGGTTGCTCCACTAGAAAGATTTGCCAAAAAATTTCATTCATAATCGGCTACGACATATATATTTACGATTCTCATTGAATCTCAAATATTGAAGTCTATTTCAAGCCCTTTCACCTCCTTGGTGTGTTCTCGTCATCTTTTCACATGTGCTCAATCGTTGCTCACAGAATCTTTTGTGATATTTCTGATAATAGCTTTTAATGCACCTCTTTGAGCAATTGAGATCATGAGCACACCTGGAATTAGTAGTTCAAAAAAAATAAAACCATTTAACTTCATCCACTCAGCGTCCTGTGGTCGAGAAGAAAGATTAAAGCAGTCTTGATAATACTTGGCTGTGATCTATAAATCACAGTAAAGTATTATCGTTTTTAACATTGAATAAATGAAAAACAGTATATCTGGATTATCTCCCCGGCACTTAAAATGGCTCACATTGAGGATGATTTGACTTTTGAGGCTCAATTGAGGATGTCTTGTGGGCTGACGAAACAATTGTTACTATTGAATTCTCAATAAAGTTAAATTCGAATTTTTGAGTGAGGATAACGGATTTTTAATGTTATATGAATTGATAAATTCAATATGCACCTGAAAAACTTAAAACTTGCCTGATATTGGCCACACGATGGTGTTCCGGTGTTATTTTGACAGAACTCTTCTATAATTGACGTTCCACACGAAAATAGGCACAAACAATTTAAGCATTCATCAATTTCTCGATCTTCGGTTGATTGTTTGGTTGATTGGTTGATTGTTGATTTGATAAAATCACTACCTGACGTAGGTGCCTGTGTTTTGACTTGCACGGTAACATTAGCATCTGATTCCTAAAAACTATATCTAGTACAATACTGTCATCTAGACTTGTAACAAAAACTGTCGGTTCTTTTTGCCGTTGGCAGCAAGGTTTTTCGTGTTTTTCTCAGCAGCAACCCATCGATTTTGACTATTTTGCCTAGCATTCGATACAGAATAAAATTGCGCATCAAATGGTACCAAAATTAACTTAAAATGTAATATCTTAACAGATAGGCAAAATCGAAAAGTTTTTGCTGAGAAAAACACGAAAAACCTTAAATTGCCATAGGCAAAATAGGACCGACAGGTGTTTTTCTTACAAGTCTGCTTTAGTTCTGCACTTTAGTTTTTGTTTTGTATTTTTTCTCGCAGTATTTTTAAAATGCAATCACCATATAACTCAGACAAGTACATGTACTAAAACTAAAACGAACTTTTGCAGTTTTACCGTATTCTCTCTAATAGTAGTGCACCCCGTCGAGCCGATTTGATGACTATTTTACGGTTTCTTGATGTTTCGCAGAAGCTCAATACTCAAATCCCCCACTAGATCTCATCGTCAGCTACATTTTCCGACCCCACATCGATAGGTTCTGATAAGCGCTTTTCGAGATTTCGAGGAATTTAGGCAACGCTCAGGGTGCATTACTATTAGAGAGATGACGGTATATCTACATCGACTCGTCTGTTCAGCGGCTATTGATGTAGCTCACTATTTATTTAGATGTTTCTAATGAAATTTCACCGTACTTTGAATCAACAACCTTCAGAATCATCAACTGTAACATAGAAAGCGCGTAGACAGAGCTGATGAGCACGAAAACTCCAACAAAAACAACAACCAATCCGAAAATTAGCCAACGAGATTTCTGTGCAACGAAGCGTTTCTTTGCTGTTCTCTTCCTGGCATAGGGATTTCTCTTCATTTTCTCTCGATCCTTCATAATCATCACTTCAGTTTCGTCTTCTTTTGTATCTGATAGAGGGTTCATATCGATTGGAGGCACTGTAATAGTATTAATATCTGATTCGACAGCAATCAATCTATCCGTTCCATCGAACCCGATTGGCCGAAGTTTAACGCTTTGGTTTTTATCAATGATTGGCTCAAAGTTGTTCGTTAGATGACTCTAAACAAAATTAAACAAATTTCAAGCGAAAGATCTTACGTGATTTTGTGCTCGAGCCACATTATAGGCTTCATTGATGGTTGGTCGTTGCTTTGGTTGTGGATGTGTGCATCTGTAAACATTGAATACTCTAAAGAACACAGACCCACTAGGACTAACAGGGCTTTTAGGACTTTAGTTTACCACTAGAACTTGTAAGCTTAATAGTAATAAAGTCAAGAAATGAATCGCAAAGAATTTAGAACCGTGGGGAATTGAACCCTCGACTTTCTTCTGATCGGGTAGAGCTACCTGAGCTGCTCTACCACTGAACTATCGGCACCTTCTTTTGCCCAAGAAGAAATAGAAAGACAAGGAAGAAATAGAAAGAAAGAAAGAAAGAGAAGAAAATACTCAGATCTTCAAAACCGTGAGTTCTGAAGGTTAAGGTTAAGAATACGCTTCTGTTCTAAATGCTAAATCCGCTGAATTGCAATACTAACCTCAAGACAAGTTTTTTCAACTCTTCATTCACGCAATCAATCGCTTCCAATCTGTATCCAATCGATAGCTCGTTAAACAATTGAACAGAACAAAATTGACTACCATCAAACTTGGCATAAACCAATCTAAGATTACAGTTTTTTTAAATTTTGATCAAAGACCTCCTTTCAACGATTTCCCAGATAACCAATCCAATCGCGTACAAATCGTTCAATGAGTTGATCTGTAAATTGAAAAGAGTAAGTCAATTTGTTAAAAATTTCATCAACCTTTCTCTTGAAAGTCTTGCGGCGATAAATCCCATATGCTTCGGGACTCATATATCGGTAAGTGCCGGTGAGGGTGGCCACAGATGATGTGTTCATCTTCTGGAATAAATCTCGAACACAGCCAAAATCGGCGAGTTTCAGCACCCAATCTTGTTTGACCAAAACGCTGAAAGATTATTTCTTTCAATGATTCAACCTTTCACATATTGTGAGCATGAAAAATGGGCTCTCTAAAAATTTCTTGTTAATGGTTTTCAAAAAGCTGGTTTACGAGAGAATTTACTAGGACTAACAGGACTTTTAGGGCTTTTAGTTTACCACTAGAACTTGTAAGGTTAATAGTAATCCCGATAAGACCATTTTGATAAGTTTTTAAAAATCTACTTTGACGGTTTGATGTCTCGATGAACAATCCCGTTCTCTTCTAGGTAAACAAGGGCCGCGAGTAAATGCTCACACCAACAAAACACGGTTTTCATTGAGTAGACAATTGTTGGGTCGTTTAACACTAAAAGAGCACTGTTAACCTTGTTTGAAAGCACTGTCAACCTATTGATTTTGACAAGAAAATCGTGTTGTGCATCTGAGAAATAGTAACAAGTTTTCTCATTCAAATAAGAGATTAAGTCAAAAGTCAAAACCTGCAGACAATGATCCCCTCTCACAATACTCCATTCGAATCACATTGTACACAGGGTTGTCATCGTCGAAGCCAAAGTATTGAATAATATTTTGATGCCTAAGGATTTGTAGAGCCTCACATTCTTTCGAGAAAGCGACAACTCGAGCATTCGAATCTTTTCTCGTAAATTTTGCGGCAATCCTGCTAAAATCAAGCATACTTCTTTGCTTGCTTTAAAGTTGACTACTAGTTGTAAACTAGAGTTATAGCAAAGTCCAAGCCAAAGTAAAGTAGTTGCAATCATCAAAAAAAAGTTGACTTGACCCATTCCTAAATGATTAAAGCAAAATTTTTTTAGGAAAAATGACCGTTTCAGAAAAGACTTTTTGGCGAATAATCTAGCGAATGTGCTTTAGTTTTCGAATAAACAAACAAAAAATTTATTCATAACAAAAAAATAAAGAAATAAAAAAGCATTAACGACCAACTTACCGACTTAACAACTAAGCAAAAAAAAGTCGACCCATCTAAAAATCACAAATATTTTAATACTTTGTAGCGGCTCCTTTGACTAAAATGATCTTCTGAAGTTTTCTGGGCAAAATGAGACCAATTTGAGCAACACTTGTTGAGAAATCGCTATCCACACTTGTTCCACTTTTTTTATCATGTCTTGTCCCATAGTCCAGCCTTGTTGCAAAACTTGTTCTTTCAATTTTCGCTTTACTATCGACCACAAGTGTTCAATGGGGTTGATGTCGGGGCTGTAGGAAGGTGTTCGAAGTAATTCCAGTCCATTTCGACAAAACCAGCCTGGCATCCTTACGAAAAATCCTCTTCGAATCTGCAGTCGCCATCCCATCATCAGCTTGCTTGTGTGCTTCGGGTGCCCATCTTGCATGAATAGCCATCCTTGTTTCATTTTGGCTCGTGCATGCAGTAGCATGTGACTCCCCAGTATGTCTTTGTACTTGTGGACATCCATGATTCCATTTATTAAAACCAGCGGACCAACGTCGGACGCTGACCTACAACCTGAACATAGACACAATTAGGTAGATTCTAGGAAAAAGTGAACAAACCCCTAATCATGATTCCATCACCATTGAATTTGACCGTAGGACGAAGATACTTGAGTTTGTAGCGTGTTTCAATAGGTCGTCGCATTACTTGACCACCATCCGGGTTGAACATGTTGATCTTTGTCTCGTCACTCCAGAGAACCCTCTTCCCATCGTCTACTGTCCAATGTTTGTACCTCTTTGCGAAGGCCAATCTCAATTGCCGATACCTCAAAACCATCAGAGGCTTTTGTACTGGTCGGCAGGCAAACAATTGAGCCGATTTGAGTCGATTCCGAATCGTTTGTCTCACTGCATTAACTCCGAAGTGCATCTTGACTCCATCAGAGCTCCTGTTTTTCGTCCTTCACGAATATCCTGATCAATGCACGATCCTCCCATGTTGTTATTTTTGGTGGTCGACCATTTTTGCATTTCGGTGCACTTTTCCTTCCAATTTTTGGCGTTTGCAAAGTCGAGGAACGGAGAAAAATTCACAGAACGTTGCAATTTTGGTTTCTTGTTGACGAGCTCGAACAATATTCTCCTTTGCCGCAGTATCCAGATATCGCTTGCACGCTACCTAAAAATAATAAATTAATTCAGAAAAACCAGAAAGATGTATCAGAAACAAAGTTTTCATAACAATACAACCAATGGGTCAGGACTTTTGTTGGGACTCAATTTGTGCTAAAATAAATCGCGGGCAATAGAAATAGCTGCTTAATTTAAAAACTAGAGCACATTGGCTGGATTATTCGCCAACAATTTTTTTCTGAAACGATCATTTTTCTCAAAAATTTTTTGTTTTAATCATTTAGGAGGCAATCGGAAAGAATTTTTTTGATGACTTTAACTACTTTGCTTTGGCTTCGACTTTGCTATAACTCTAGTTTACGATTAGTACTCAACTTAAAGCAAGCAAAGAAGTATGCTTGATTTTATTATATATTATTAAGATGTGGGGGTGGGACAAATGCGACCTTTTTTTGCGCACCAGGGCAAAAGCGCACCTTTTTTTTCGCTGGAAAAGGCCGTAGAGCTTCAAAAATGTTTCCACAGATGGGGAATCGTATGCGTAGATTCCGAATTTCGACAAATCAGACCTCGCTGACACGTCAAATTTGGGCTAAAAGGCAAAAACTGCGGAAAAGCGTTAAGTTGCGTAGTTTTTGAGTTTTGCGTAGTTTGCGTAGCCCAAATTTGACGTGTCAGCGAGGTCTGATTTGTCAAAATTCTGAATCTACGTATACGATTCCCTTCTATGAAACATTTTTGAAGCTCTACGACCTTTTCTAAGGCCTTTTCCAGCAAAAAAAAAGGTGCGCAAATGTCCAGGTGCGCAAAAAAAAGGTCGCATTTGTCCCACCCCCTTAAAATGTTCAAAAAACTAACGGATGTCCTCCAATCAATCCAACGCATCCTTGACTTCCACTGCCGAGGAAAATAAACGATGGATCGTCCATAGCAAAAGTGAATCCGTTTCAATAGTTGTGAGCAGCCGATAAAGAGATCGATTGGTGACAGAAAAAAAGGGAAAATTGATAGAATTACGAAAGAAAATTTAAAAAGAACAAGTTACTCTTTTGAGTCGTTTCTCGAGAAATTGTTTTTATCAAATCGTAGCTTTTGAATCGTTTCATAATTTAAAAAGCTTTAAATCGTTAAAAAAAGTGCTGATATGATCAGAAAATTAAAATTTCTTTTACATCTAATGATTTTTACGGCTATTCATTGTGTATGCACAAAATGAAAGTCAAAATTTCTTATTTAGATAAAGATACGGACATGAGATTTGAAAAAAAAAACACAAAACTTAATTCAAAAAAAAGTTTTCAAGCGATTCCTTTAACCCTCGATAATCATCCTATTCGTTTGGTAGAAAAAAAATGGATATCTGCGTGATTTGGGAGTCCTTATTAGTCCTCCTCTTAGTTTCCGTTTTCACATTGAATCCATGTGTAATAAGGCCTCCGTAAGTGCTAACCGTATCCTCAGGTCTATTACCATACCTAACATCAAAGTTTATCGGATGTGTTTTGTTGCTTATGTCCGCCCAATTCTTGAATACGCTTCTTTGGTTTGGTCTCCTTCCCTATTAAATCTTATTCAAAAAAATAGAACGTGTTCAGAGGCACTTCACCAGAATTGCTCTTTATAAAATTAATTTTGACAAATTCTCCTCCTTTACTTATTCTGATAGATTGCAACTCTTTGGTCAACTTTGGTCCACTTTGGTCTTGAAATGTTACACCAACGCCGCCTGATCATCGATTTAGTGGAATGCTTTAAAATTGTTAAAGGCATTCATCCCGACCCCCTTTTTTCTGGTCTCTTTGAATTCGGCTCTCTACGGGGCGCCTCCAGAAGGCCTTTTCTCCGAGGCCTACGGGGCCTTTTCTCATACGCCAACCTGCCGTTTCCTCTAAAAGCCCCCACAGTTTCTTTTTTAATCGAGTTATTAAATTCTGGAACATGTTCGTGTTCGTGTTCTTGTTCTTGTTCTTGTTCTTGTTCTTGTTCTTGTTCGTGTTCTTCTTCTTGTTCGTGTTCTTGTTCGTGTTCGTTTCCCTCATGTTCTCCTCATGTTCGTGATATTTCCACCTTGGCTAGATTTAAAGCCGCAATTTCGGCAATTGATTTGACTGCTCTGTGATTCTTTCTTGAGGTATCCATTTATCTTTTGGGTGTGTTTTGAGTGGTGTCCCGGGTAATTATTGTGATTTTGTCTTGTCGCTATTCAACTGAATAAAGCATATAAATATATGATCAGAAAATTAAAATTTCTTTTACATCTAGTGATTTTTACGGCTATTTTTGTGTATGCACAAAATGAAAGTCCAAATTTCTTATTTAGATAAAGATACGGACATGAAATTTGAAAAAAAAAAACACAAAACTTGATTCAAAAAAAAGTTTTCAAGCGATGGCCCCATGTACCTGGCGTGTTTTTTTGTGACATCAATTACCGCAAAAAAAAAAGGAGATTTGATGTTTTCACCTGGGCCTTTCACTATTCCTGTTTTCAGATTTGTTATTTTCACCTGGGGCCAAATGAGTGTGCTGGGCTTATCAAAAGTATAAGTACTATTTTTGTTGTTTATCGACTGAACATTTTGAGCGTGACTGGGAAATATCTGGCTAAAATCGACGTGGATTTGACGGAATCGTTGGCAAATTTAAAGGATTACCGATCGCCGATCGGATTAACGTACCAGCTTTTCGTCGACGTCTTATTAACGGTTGCTTTTTTGGGGATCTTACTAAATATTGGCTCCACCTAGGCTACTAAATATTGGCTCCACCTAGGCTACTAAATATTGGCTAGACCTAGGCTACTAAATATTGGCTAGACCTAGGCTACCAAACTTTTATCGAACCTATTTTTCTTCATTAAACTTTTGTAAAAACTAACAAAGAAAGGGCAACTGGATAGGCTGGCCAAATGACATGAGCTGGGAAGATCAACTGGCTGAGCCGGCCAAATGACATGCAACCTGTACCATTCGACGCAGAATTTCACGCTGAATTCGAATCTGCTTTCTGTTTTTATTAAACGGCACTGTCTGTATGTCTGTCTGTCTGTCAAACTCTGTCAAAAGACAAAAGCATAAGCGTGCAAAAATTTTATGAGATTTTAAAAATCCCACCCTGTGTTTATAAGCAAATTTCCCAGGGACTTTCAAAGCAGTGATGAGCGTGTGGCAGTGGGTTAGAATACAAGCAGTGATGAGCGTGTGGCAGTGGGTTTAGAATACAAGGTAAACCCTCCTCGAGTTCGAGTCCCCCGTTCTACTTTTTTTGTGTAAAAGTTTAAGTTTAAAGTATTTTAAAATAAACTTGTATTTAAAGCAGAGAACAATTAACTTTGCAAGTCCAAAAAAGTAAAACGGCTCGAACTCGAGAGGGTTTACCTTGTATTCTAGTAAATAGTAAATCAAATTCAAAAGATTTCGGCTCTAGGCCGCTTCGGTAAGTTTTAGGAGTTGAAAAAAGCAGCTCGGCCAAACGCAAACGCTACCCTTTTTGCACAAATGCGGTTCAAAACAAATAAAATCTTAAAGTGTGAGCGCATTGAGACTTTGCGCATTGCGACGCTCTTCAGCGCAACTTTGCAATTAATTGAACCCATTCTACACAAACGACCTACATATTCGGAATCAGCGAAAAATTTGCTATAAAATAGGCTAATTCCCACCTCGAAACTTGGTGGTAAATAAACAACGATCCATAGATCTAACTTTCACTACTATATTTTTATTTCTTTTTATTTCTTTTTATTTCTTTTTATTTCTTTTTATTTCTTTTTATTTCTTTTTATTTCTATTCAATTGCTCTGATAACATAAGCTTTCTGTTAGGTCTCTTTGATCAACGAAAAGCAAACTAGCAATTGAAAGTTCTTCAGCATCAACTGTAATTACAGAGTTCGTACAAAGATTACAGTTTGCGGAAGTGCTCGTTTTTTGACAATCTGCTCACATAGATCCCCTCTAATTATGTTTTTAACAAGTGATTACGCGAAAAAAAATCTGAATTATTGAATTTTAAGTTCTTTATAGTATTAAAAAGAATCATTTCTATTTAATTCTTTTAATTTTCAATTTCCGAAGTCACCAGGGAATTGTCTGCTGAGATTTTAAAAGTTTTGCACAAATAGCTGTTACCGAACAGAATTATTTTTATTTAATTCTTTTAATGAACAATTTGCAAAGTCATCAGGGAATTGTTTAAATGTTAAAAGATTTAAAAATTTTTGTTCAAAGAGCCGTTCAGTTGCCATTCTCTTGTCATTTTTCGATTCTTGCAAGAGAACTTTGATGAATTACTTGTCTACTCAAAAAACGGCAGTATTCGATGCTGTGAAAAGATTTTATGAAGCCACACACGAGGTGCTCGAGGTTCCAATTGTGGGCACGTTGATGGCAGGTTTGTTTTCAATCAGTTCAATTGTTTTTACTGCTACTCAGCAGTAAAAACAATTGAACAATTGAAAAGTGCTTCTAAGTTGTTGCTAGCACTGCATTGAAAACTTGTAGTTGCTTCGTTTTGACTCCAATAAAGCATCTTTTGATTTCATGATTTTAGCTCTCCTTTTCAACGTGGAGCCACTCGCGTTTTATCTGATCACTGAACGTGCATCCCAGGCATTTCTCGATCCAACCGAGCCTGGCTTGATTGAGATCACTTTCGATCAATTCTCCTCAATCATCCCATATGTGAATGGATTATTTCTTGGGGTTAGTGAAGGGAAAAAAAAATTTGAAATGAATCAACATGCGTTTTTTAAATACAGTCGAACCTCGTTAGTGAACTATAGCACGCTTTCGCAATTGACTGATCACTTCTATCCCGCAAGCATCGTTGAAAAATGGTAATAGCTTTGTATGCTTGTTTTTGTGTCACTTCCGGAGACTCCAATATACTCTCGCAAATTCAAGAGCCTTTTCCTTGAGAATCGGTCCATCAAGAGGCGCATTTTCGCTTCTCGCATCTCGAATCCAAGAAACAAGGGCTTCATCGATCAGATTTTGTTTCCAATACAGTCGACTCTCTCTATAACGGAGCTCTATATAGCGGAAACCTATATAACGGAATGAAATTTTGGTTCCGGCTGACGCTAAGCTATTATAACGGCATTCTATATAACGGAAAAATTTTTTGTTCCTTTCCATTCCGTTATAGAGAGAGTCGACTGTATATTCTCCTCTTCATCTTTTCGCTTCTCGTATCCCGAATTCAAGAAACAAGAGCTTCTTCGATCAGATTGTGTTTGCCTCGAAGACGATTTCGTTCCTTTTTCGTCCCATCATTGATTCCCTTCAAAATCTTCGTTTTTGTTCGTAAAATCTTTCGAATTGTTTCATGGAGGAGTTTGAACACATCGGCTAATTGAGAGATTTATTTCCTATCAATTTCTCGCAAGATTTTTCTTTCGCTCCAAAGAAATCGTCGTTTTCATCGTACCTAAATAAAAAAAAAATCTTTCTTGATATGCAAAAAAAAACAGAAATATGAAGCTGGTCATTAAAGTAAAACGCGTAAATGACAGAAATGGGATGCCAAAATATGTAATTAAGCAGCTTATTTTGAAAATAACTATTGTGTTTTTAAAATAACAAATGAGTAACTAAAATAAGACAAGAATTACTTTTTTTTAATTGTGCAAAAAGATTAAAAAAGTTGTGTTTGTAGCAGGTTTCATTTGATTGACTGAATATTTTAGCATTAAACATAAACATAAAAAAAGTAATTTTCAAGGAAGGAAAGTGTAAATTTGTTCTATCTATAGGGTTGTCCAGGATTACGTGGACTAAAGAACTTGAGGATTTTAATTTAATTTAAAGAGCACCATTAAACTGACACCAAAACAGCAAAAATTCATTTTAATACAATAATTTAACATGAAAATTTACTTTTTTTTCAAAAAGATCTCCTTTGGCGGTAACACAGGCCTGCAGGCGCTTTGGGAACGCGTCCGCAGCGAGAAGGTAGGGCCTGTTCAGCTCGTCTCAAGCTTTCTGAAGGCCTTTCTTCAAAGAATCGACTGTTGGGTGGGGTTTCGAGCATGATTTTGCTTCCACTACATTCCATATAGAATAATGGAAGGGTTGGGTTGAGGGTTGAGTCCCGAGCTTGATGGTGACCACTGGTTAAAATCGATAAAATCAGAGAAATTCTGCTTGCACCAATCTTGGATCCTGCGAGCTTTGCGTGCGGGTGCCCCATCCTGTTGAAAGTTGGTTCGAACGATCCTCGCATCTCTTTTTGCTGGCTGATTTAAGAAGTTGGCTTTTGAAAAACTTATAAGCTTTCATTCCAAGACGATTTTTGAAAATACGGCCCATAGAGGTTCGAGAAATTCCCATACTCTTTGCCATCCTGGCCTGCGAACGAGTGGCTTTCAAGCATAGCCGATCTCGAACCTTTTTGATAGCCTTGGTGACAACGGTCGCTTTAACACCACGTCCGGGACGATCAGAATTGGTTCCTAACTCTTGAAAGAGTTTGTAAAAGTTGTAAAAAAAGTTGTTTGCGTATCATCGATCGCTTAGAGATATCCATCGCCAAAACGCCACGCTTGGGTAGGTTGATCGCATTTCTTGATATACGGACTTCTTGGCCATTCTATTAGGTTGATGCATAGGTATTTTCGTTCCTTTTCGTCTGCCGTTTCAAGCCAATAAATGCACCAATTAAACTACGGTTGATTTCATTAGAAAAAGCAATTATTTTTCTGCAAAATAACATTAAAACGGGTTTAAAAATATTTTATGCCTGGATTTTCTTGAGAGTATGAAGTCGGGTAGTCAAAAAGGGCTAACTCGATGATGCGGTTTAGACACCTTAGCTAAAGAAAACCTATCTTCGTGTCAATAGATAAAAGATAGAGAAAAAAAACGTTTGATATTTGGCCAAAATTTCAGAGAAATTCATTCAGCCAATTTTTCCGTAGAGTTTTTTATAGATTTTTACGAAAAAGGCGTTTTTCACTCTCGAATTTGCTTGAAAGTGAACCGAAATTGATTTAAAAAGATGGAAATTGAACAAAAAAACACTTTTTTTATAGAGCAAACTATAGATTAATTGGTGAATTTGTTACTTTTTAACAGAAGTACGAAAAAAACGAAAAGACTTATGCATCAACCTAATAAAAAAGACATTTTTTGAGGAAAAATAGTAAGTAAATAGTTAAATAAATAAAATCAACCAAAAGAAAGATAAAAACAATATATAAATTGTAAGCAAAAATATAAGATATCAAAGGTACCCTTAGTCCCCGTAATCCTGAACAACCCTGTAATTAATACTTTACTATCGAGGTTTGATTAATCAATCAACTCAGAAAGATTTTAAAAAATCCGGTTACTTTCGAGGTTAGTTTACTATCAAAGTGTTCACTAACGAGGCTTTTGCTAGTGTATTTTGTTAAGCTTTTTTTCGTGAGTGTCCAAAATCCGTTGACTATCGAGGTTAGCTCACTATCGACGTGTTCACTAACGAGGTTCGACTGTATTTTATCACCAACCATTCAGACGCTATCTCTGTCAATCCTGACAAATTGCATCGCCATCTATCACTCGGCCAGAAATAACGAATTGATATCAGCGATCAGGTAGGAAAATTTAAGGAACTAGCCTGGTTGAGAGCATTACGCTGAGAGCATTACGCTGTGAGAAAATCGAAATATAATCGAAATATAATCGAAAAATTTTTGACGACAGATGAAAAAAAAGTAGTAACAATTGTTATGTGTGTTCCAACTAAGAGAAAAAACAACAAAATTATGGATTCCGTTTGCACAAAAAAAAGTTATCGCGCTAAACCCCGCAAAGACGGAGTGTAGACTCGTTGTTTCCGGTTGTGAAGCGACCTGAGAAACTTTATATCAAACACTATGAAAATTGTACAACAGAAACAAAATAAAACCGTCACAAAGGCAATAAAAAAGCTAATTAAACATTAATCTTTCCAGCACCAGTTAATAAAACATCTATTCCAAATGATTTAAGAGAATTTTGTAGCCACTTCTCTGGGTTCATGTCTCTGAATTTTCGATGCAATTTTACTGTGCACTAAAAATAGTGTTTTTTACATTGAACTCGCTTCCTGTGACAGGATCGACCTGTTATAACCTGTAACTTGAGGGTTTTTTCCCCTTTGGTGTTAGCAATTGGAGTTTGGTGCGATAAATTTTTTTTTGTGCAGACAGAACCCATAATTTTGTTGTTTTTTCGCTTATTTGGAGCACACATAACAATTGTTGCCAATTTTTTTGATCTGTCGTCAAAAATTTTTGAGCTCCTTGTGGGGGGGGGGGCATGATTTTTTCCGAAAAACAGTTTCCGATTCAGTTTTTCCTCTCTAAATCCTAAACGACTCTAAATCCGAAAAACTACATCTCTGGTGGAGAAATTTACATGGATTACCCATTTCATATGCATTGGTTCAATAGATTTCAATGAGAAAAGCTTGGGCGCATTGTAGATGGAATAACCAAGGAGCAAATACCTGCTTCAATGCCTCAATCTAGTGCATTCACTGATGAATGCTCAATATGATGCAAATTCATATAGCATCGTTTCCAAAACATTCTCCAAAAGGTGCATGGGTCATCATCAAACTGTTGATGCCACATGAACTCGTTCAAGTAGTCGGTGTATTGATCATTGCTTCAAGTGTTGTTACCATGTTCGGCTTTGATTTGATAATTTTGTCTAACTTCTAACTTCTAACTTTCAGACTGGTGGCCACAGCTGAGAACGTGAATCGCCTTCTCTACACGATGAGTCTGGCCATTGTGATGGGTTGTTCATCGCTTATGATCCCGTGAGTCATTTGAAAATGTGTCGAAAAACAAAAACTGTTTTTTTAGGCCTTTTCAGATAGATAGTGCTACTCTGGCAGCGTTTTGCAGCTCAGATTTCTTTTCGTTTATCCAAAATTGGGGCTCTCAGCTTCAGCTCATCAACATTCACTGTCAAATCTACGTGTCACTCAGGTTTAGCATCAATTATATTAGCACTTTGTAATGTTGTATTCTGTACAGTTGGTCCAGTAAAACCTGCACAGGTAGAAGGGTCCGCCTGTCGTCAGGCGAGCTCCTCTTCACTAAGGAATTGAGGAATTGGCCTAAGGCACCTGATTGGTTCAATCGAGCGCCAAGAGGCTGTAGTTTGCGGCTGTAGTTCAACCGTAGGGTCTCTGTGGGGTTTCATTGGAGAAACCTTAGATGGAGTTTCTTGGTGACCGTATAGTTGTGAAGAAAAAAGGATATAGGAAGAAGAATATTTATCTCTCGTACAAGGAGTGAGGGCGGAAAGCAAAAATTGCGTTTTTCTTCATTTCTCGATTGGAAACCTAGTTTTTCATATAGGAAATAGTTGTAGAGAAACGCATAGAATAATATATAAATGAACGCGATTCTTGAAAAACTGTTTAGCCGTTTCTTTGCCATTTCGTTTAACGGGATGTTCTTCAAGTTTTAATACCCCTTTAAATCAGAAAAACGTTCAAGATGAGAAAAAAAGGTCCTTCTTTTAGGATATATTCTGTCTATCTTCTTAATTTCTTAATTTCTTTCAATATTAACTTTTTATATTAACTTTTTATATTAACTTTCAATATTAACTTTCAATATTAACTTTCAATATTAACTTTCAATATTAACTTTTTATATTAACTTTCAATATTAACTTTCAATATTAACTTTCTATATTAACTTTCTATATTAACTTTCATCTGCTAATCTTTGAGAAAGTGGTAGAACCTTTTGTAGAATCGATAAATCCATTAAATGAATTTTACCGTTTGTTTTCCAAATAAAACGATTCAATTCACTGTTTAGCCGTTTCTTTGCCATTTCTTTTAACGGGATGTTCTTCAAGTACACATTGAAACAACCGTTCTTTCAATTCGTCGTTTGCCTTTTTCTCGGCTTTTTTGATCTGCTCTTTGGGTGGTTTGTATTCACTTGGTTCAGTGTTTATATGCTCAAAATATTGATCGCATTCACGATAACCATCGATTTCTTCACTTACCGCAAAATAAAAAAGGTACTTTTTGTTCGTGAAAGCTAAATGAAAACTTTATGCGTTAGTGGAAGAAAAATAAAGTGTCACCGGCGGAGCAGCGTCTAATGAAACAGGTAAAACTTTAAAAAGCTTTTACTTACTCATAAAAATGACTTACTCGTTAATTCCTAGATGATTCTCAGTTCTGTTATTTATTTCTACCAATATGTGCTCACAAATTTGTTGATCGTTGGGCAATATCTATTCATAGGCGCTTGGCTTCAAGCAGCTATTTTTGTGGTTTTCGCTTACATAACAACAACTCTATTCACTTTGGGACAAAGGTAAAATCTAGCTTTGTTTAGCACTTTTTAAAATTCAAATCAATGAGTTAAACTTGCTAGAAGTTTAATTTCAATTAAAGTTTAAAACGTATTCAGTCTAGATTAGCCGGATTACGGTATTTAGTCTAGAATGGGTATTCAGTCTAGATTAGCTGGATTATGGTATTTAACGTTGATTAAGTTATTCGGTCCAGATTAACTCCATTACGGTATTTAGTCTAGATTGTATATTCAGTCTAGATTAGCTGTATATTCAGTCTAGATTACGGTATTCAGTCTAGAATGGGTATTCAGTCTAGATTAGCTTGATCACGGTATTTAGTCTAGAATGGGTATTCAGTCTAGATTAACCGGATTACGGTATTTAGTCTAGAATGGGTATTCAGTCTAGATTAGCTTGATCACGGTATTTAGTCTAGAATGGGTATTCAGTCTAGATTAGCTGGATTACGGTATTTAGTCTCGAATGGGTATTCAGTCTAGATTAGCTTGATCACGGTATTTAGTCTAGAATGGGTATTCAGTCTAGATTGGCTGGATTGCGGTATTTAATCTAGAATGGGTATTCAGCCTAGATGGGGTCGATTACGGTATTTAGTCTAGATTGGGCATTCATGATACAAGTCAAGCCATGTTAACTCTGCCCCTTTTTTCGGTCGGTTTGCCATTATCAAACTACGAATTTTGCTTGTACCTTGATCGGGTTTGTTTGAAAAACGTTGAATTTGATTTCATTCGATAGAAAATTTGATTTCGAGTCAAATGAAATCAAATTTCGAATAAACCCGGTCAAGGTACGAATAAAATAGATTGCCGTAGATTGCCAACGGCAAACGGACCAAAAAAGAGGCGGAGTTAACATTTCTGTACAAGTCCAGTGCTCTTTTGGCATTGTAAACAAATAACCCACAAAATGTTCAAAAAAAATGTAAAAATTGATTTGGTATGATGAAAAAGATTTGTGTTAATGTCTCAAAAAGTTTAAGCTCTTTTTTTTCAGTAAAATGTTGAAATGTTGTTCATCTGTTTTAAGAGGCGGTTATTTCAATTATTCTAAAGCATTCTTTTCAGCACGATCAGCATCATATTTCTGAAGAAAACTTCAAGAGACGATGCCGAACGCTCGACAGCAACACTCAAATCGATCACCGTTTCACCGATCACCAACACACAAAGCACCAATCGATTCCCTTCCCGTATCCGCCATTAAACTACTTATTTTTTATTGATTTTGATTATACTTATGTGGAAACTACTATATATAAAACAGAAGAGACGTCCGTCTGTCTGTCATTGGCAGGGGCGGGGCTTAGATTGTGTGAAAAATCCGAACGTTAGTGAGCGAGCGATACTAATCTTTCTAAGTTCCTATGGTAACAATATAAAGACATATTCAAAGCTTTATTAATACCTATGTTTACAAAATAACAATTGACTTGTGTTGATTTCAATAGGTTTTTGTTGTCCCCTCAAGTCGTGCCTACAATTCATTTTTTCAGAATGTTTATGCGATTATAATTTCAAAAACTATACTAATGTTTCTAAGTTGCACCTAATACAAATGAAAAGACATGGAATTCGGCAAAGATTTCAGTAACACCAAGCCGCCGATCCATTGCAGTAACCTCCGAGCACATGAAGATATGTGACGCAACACACGTACACGGCACCACCCTGAAAATGAAGATCAAAAGTAATTACTTCAACAAAATTTAACAAAACTAACCGGACAATAGGAGTTGCAGAGAGGGAATGGTGCAGCATTTGGGTCCTTTTCAGCGGAGTTTGTAAGAGTCACCGGAATAAAGGCCATGCAGACACCTGAATATATTTGAATTTCAAATTCAGAAACCATTTTTGAAACTTGAAATTCTTAACTTATTTAGCTTTTGAAATTTCAGAAATTTTTCTTACCAATCACGAGAAGTGAAATGAAAATGCTAATGAGTGGGCGCATTGTTTAAAGATTTTGTAGAGCGATGAAAAGTTAGGGTTCTGGGCTGTGTCTAGGCTGGTCACCTTTGCCCTCAACGCTTTCCGTTGTTCACCTTTTTTTTCTGGAATCATTTATAGAGACCAAAAGGTAATCAAGAGAGAAAATCGAAACAACAAACAGCTGCTGGTTTCAAGGCAAAGCTTGTGTGATTCTTTCGGGCCAACCTGTGATAAATTGTGTGAAGAAGTTGAGGAAAACGGTCTGTTTTTGGATAAAACTAAAGGATTAAAAAAAATTTTTATTTACTCAAGAAGACGGAAATTAAAATTTAGCAAAAGTTACGAAATTGTATCTTACAAATTACATGGTTCTTACATAGTGCTTGTATTTTCATTTTTTCGAATAGCAATCACTAAGCAAAGTTTTAACATAACTTCGAAAGAAAGAAGGAAAAGAAGGTTCATTTGAAAAGTGAACACAAAATTCCACATAAATTGAATAGATTAAGTAAAAAGAGGACTTTGTATGCTGTTTTGCACACAAAAAAAAACAAATATTCAAATTTTAGGCTAACTTACAAAGAGACACAGCAAGATGTCAAAGTTGTCAAAGCAATACGATCAAAGCAATAATAAAGAACCGTAATTGACTTCTAATCGAGTATTTATTTGTATTGAGTAAGTAAATGAAAAATCTCAAAATACTTTATAGACAAAATTAAAGACGTTTCGTGAAGAAGTTGGGAAGAAAGTTGCGGAAACGATTTTTTTGACGGCTTGGATTGTAGACGCTTGGCGGATTGTAGACTAAGCAAAGTTTTAACATACCTTCGAAAGAAAGAAGGAAAAGAAGGTTCATTTGAAAAATGAACACAAAATACCACATAAATTGAATAGATTAAGTAAAAAGAGGACTTTGTATGCTGTTTTGCACACAAAAAAAACAAACAAATACCGTATTCTCTCTAATAATAGTGCACTCTTTAATAGTAGCGCACCCTCGAAAATTTGAATTTATAGTGCTTCTTAAACCTTTTTGACTTTATGTCTACATTCTAAAGCTATTCAAGCAAGCAAAAGTGAGGCTTTTTTTTTATTCATTTATTAACTATTCTTCACATGAAAAAGTTAGCAAAAAATCTAAAATTGTTGTGCAAAGTGTAAAAAAAACCTTTTGGTTGTTTCCACACATTGTTTTAGTGGCACATTAACTCAAATTTGGTTCGCGCAAAGCTATAGTCATTTTTTGCTCTTATATACCTGTATAAAGTTTGAGAATTGACTTACCTTTTGCGGCGTTAAGCTTTATTGTTATCAAAACTCAATCCTAGAAAATAATCCATCATCTTCGATTTTAATATTATATAATTTTTGTTGGTCACCTTTACTATTGTCTAAATAATCTTTTTCTTTAAGTATGTGCATCTCGATGGGAACTCGCTTGATGAATTCGAAAATTTTCGAGCTCGTCGTGAACACGAGGAACATGTGGAATTCTTCAAGAGGATTGACAATCAAGTGGCCGAGCAAAATGTCGGCTACAACATGACCAACGATGTTGCCGAGGAGTCTTCGTGTGACTAGGATGCACCGTCCGCGAAAAAGCGATGTTTCGACATTCAAACAAAGCTGAAAGCTATTGATTTTGCTGAAAAAATAAAGGATAAGTTGGCTGCAGCGCGAAAATTTCGAGTCAGTCGTCAAAATAGTCCAAAAATGGTGTGAGCAAAAGGAAGAACTCGAGAAACAAAACAGAGATAACGGAAAAGGAAAAAAGCAAATCAAAAGGGGTGGACGAAAGCTCCAAGAATGTCGATTTTGACAAGGATCTTGTTGCTTGGATTCAAGAAATGCGGGCAAAGAAGATGCGAGTGATACGAAAAATGATTCAATGCCAAGCCAAATTAACGTGGAAACGTGACGAGGAATTTTCGGCATCAGTGGGATGGCTAAATTTATTTATGTCAAGACACAAATTGTCAACTCGCCGGCCCACAACTAGAGCCAAAGGAGTACGTGAAAGAATTGCAAGTATTTTTTTTGCAAGAATTTTTGGAACAAATCTTATATCTGTCTTACTTTGGTAAATGATAAAACTCTTTAATAGTAGTGCACTCTCTAATAGTATTGCGGTCCAGGAGGGGGTTGAAAAAATAGCAGTGCGCACTACTATTAGAGAGAATACGGTATATATGTCGTAGCCGATTATGAATTTGAGCCGATTATGAATCATTTATAATCGGCTACGACATATATATGTTGTGTCCGATTTAGATTTTCGTCCGATTTAGATTCAATCTAAATCGGACGTCTTATATAGATTGAACAATAATATAAACATGTTTAATACATGTTCTTAAGCGTTTTCTGTAGTTTTCTGCATTTTCAAAGGTGTTTTATTAATTACAGTCTATATCGGACATCCGATACAGATCGAACAATAATAAACGTGCTTAATATATGTTCTTAAGCGTTTTTTTGCAATTTTCTGCGCTTTTCAAAGAAATTTTATTGTCTTTTTTTTGAGAATTTTTTGTTTTCTTGTTTTCCTATTAAATGCTGCTTTTTTTTACAGATGGAGGACCTTTTTGACCAAGAATTTGACGTGTTTTTACAAAAGAAGAAAAGAGGAAAAGAAAACTTTCCAACCGCTGAAACCTACAATTTGATGGTTGAAACGCTCCACAATCATCGTGAAAACTCCGAGAAACCAAAACTACCACAAAACTACCACGAAAACAACTTGCTGAAAAGATTTGCGCTCGTGATTGAACAAAAGGGAGCGCAGCTTTATCATGTGGGCGAGAAAAATGGCAGCGGAGAGATGCCAGCACAACAACGAGTGATTAAGCGAGAAGCGGTCTTTCGGCTCTTACACGAAACACACAAAAAACTTAGACACGCTGGAATAAACTTGATGTGGCAAAATCTCCGATGATATTATGGTATTTCAAAGTGGGTTTTTGACTTTATTATTTTATTTGCTGCTTACTGGCTCAAACTACATTTTTAGAGAAATCATCAGTCTCTACGTCAAATTGTGTGAAGAATGCGAATTGAAAAGAGGAAATTTTAAAAAACGGTCGTTGCGAGGCCAATCTTAACGCAAAAACAAAACGAGCGTTGTCAAGTGGATCTTATCGATCTCCAATCAACACCGGATGGTGATTTCAAGTTCATTCGAGTATACCAGGTTTTTTTCTGTTATTTATTGTAATAAAATATAAATTTTGGGACCATTTAACCAAATTCGTGACGCTGCGCCCTTTGAAGACAAAAACCGCAAAAGAAGTTGTAAAGAACCTTGGGATGCTATTTGGAATCTTCGGACCACCGAAGATATTGCATTCAGGTTTTTTTCCTTTTTTGTTAGCGTATTCACGTTGAGTTTTTTGATTTTTGCGTAAGTTATTTTCCTTCCAGCTTGTCTAAAAACGTTCACAGACAACCGATTTATTTAAGTTAGGGGTCAAATGAAGAAAAATGTGAACGTTTTTTAACGAGCTAGAAGGGAAATAACTTATACAAAAATCAAAAAATCTCGTCGCGAATGTGCTAATTGGTAAAGTCTCAGACAACGGCCGAGAGTTTGTCAACAAATGTATCGACGATTTGGTTGGTATGTGGCCACACTGCAGGATTGTTTATGGAAAACCTCGGCACTCACAATCACAAGGTAGCGTCGAAAGAGCAAACGCTGATATTGAAGTAAGTTAAAAGGAGCGAGTTTATTTCATTTCTATTACATAGGCAAACATAATTTGTTAATTTTGTTTTAGAACATACTGTGTACGTATCAACGTGATCGGCAAACTGCAAAATGGGCTGAATTTCTTCCGATGATTCAACTCATAAAGAATAGAAGATATCACCATGGAATCAGAAGAACTCCATTTGCCGCAATGTTTGGTAAAGACTATGATGATGAACGAGAAGTAAGGTATGTTTGAAATTATTTACATAATAGATTCCAAACTATTTTGCTTAGTGATGATTCAAATGGGATTAAAAACAAAAATGGGGACGAATTGAATCAACCGGAATTTGCGTCCGAAAATTTGGTTTGTTTTATTTATTGTTTATTTTAATCTATATTTTAAAAATTTAGGAGCAAGTCTACAAAAAAAGTGCGGAAATTGGCGACAAAGATGAAAATAGCAATGATTCAGGTTAGTTTTATTTTTTATTTTTAACGCTATAAAAATAGGTAAAGGATTCAATTTTGCAGCACAAGATGCTGAAATACTTGCAAAAAGAGATAGTGCCCGTTCAAGTCTAATAAAACAAGCCGACAAGATGTTACAAGCGTCTAAAGAGAGGTTCTTTTATGATCGTTTTTCGGTTTCACCTAATGTGCACAATTAGATTTCAGCCTTTGGATGTTGGAAAGAACGTAAGAATTCCAATTAATCCGGTTGATCGACCAAAAATTGGCCACCGAAATCTTTTGGGCGTTGTCACTGAAGGTTTGTTTCGATTAAATTCACTTAAGCCATTTTTTTAAAGCAATCGATGGGCTTTACACGATTAGGACGGCGAATGGGACTCTACCTCTAGAAGTTTTCAAGAAATCAACTCTATCCTTGTGAGACGGACTTCCTTGTTATTGCTGATGTGCCGGAACGTTCAACTTCCTTTCGTGCCGCCATCGGTGATTCTTCTATTCACGGGAAAGAAGGCAAGTAACTATAACTTTATTTTATTTTTGCGTGTTCCATTAGGCCATAAACATTGCTTATGTGCTGGAAAATGCTCATCCAATCGATGTTCGTGCAAAAAGGATGGCCGACTCTGCAATTCAAGATGCCACAATAGCCTAAGCTGCAAAAATAAATAGAAATTTTTAACTCGTTCGTTGTTGTATGTTGTAATTTTGCATCTGTTCTGTTAACGCTAATAAATTGTTTCATAGTTGGGTTTTCTTTTCAGGAAAAGACAGTAACAGACCTTTGAAAATGCAGAAAACTACAGAAAACGCTTAAGAACGTATATTAAACATGTTTATATTATTGTTCAATCTATATAAGACGTCCGATTTAGATTGAATCTAAATCGGACGGAAATCTAAATCGGACACAACATATAAAACAGAAGCGACGTCCGTCTATCTGTCATTGGCAAAAAGGGGCGGGGCTTAGATTGTGTGGAAAACGTGAACCTCCTTAGTGGAAAACCCGAACGTTAGTGAGCGTTTTCCTATGGTAACAATATAAAGAGATATTCAAAGCTTTATTAACACCTATGTTTACAAAATAACAATTGATTTGTGTTGATTTCAATAGGTTTTTGTTGTCCCCTCAAGTCGTGCCTAGAATTCATTTTTTCAGAATGTTTATGCAATTATAATTTCAAAAACTATACTAATTTTTCTAATTTGCACCTAATACAAACGAATGGCATGGAATTCGACAAAGATTTCAGTAACACCAAGCCGCCGATCCATTGCAGTAACCGCCGAGCACATGAAGATATCTGACGCAACACACGTACACGGCACCACCCTGAAAATGAGGATCAAAAGTAATTACTTCAATGAAAAATTTAACAAAACTAACTGGACAAAAGGGGTTGCAGAGAGGGAATGGTGCAGCATTTGGGTCCTTTTCAGCGGAGTTTGTAAGAGTCACCGGAATAAAGGCCATGCAGACACCTGAATATATTTGAATTTCAAATTCAGAAACCATTTTTGAAACTTGAAATTCTTAACTTATTTAGCTTTTGAAATTTCAGAAATTTTTCTTACCAATCACGAGAAGTGAAATGAAAATGCTAATGAGTGGACGCATTGTTTAAAGATTTTGTAGAGCGATGAAAAGTTAGGGTTCTGAGTTGTGTCTAGGCTCGTCACCGTTGCCCTCAACGCTTTCCGTTGTTCACCTTTTTTTTCTGGGATTATTTATAGAGACCAAAGGGTAATGAAGAGAGGAAATCGAAACAACAAGCAGCTGCTGGTTTCAAGACAAAGTTTGTGCGACTCTTTCGGGCCAACCTGTGATAAATTGTGTGAAGAAGTTGAGGAAAACGATCTGTTTTTAGATAAAACTAAAGGACTTTTCAAATGAAAAATCAAGGAGACGGAAATTAAAATTTAGCAAAAGTTACGAAATTGTATCTTACAAATTACATTGTTCTTAAGTAGTGCTTGTATTTTCATTTTTTCGAATACCAATCACTAAGCAAAGTTTTAACATAACTTCGAAAGAAAGAAGGAAAAGAAGGTTCATTTGAAAAATGAACACAAAACTCCACATAAATTGAATAGATTAAGTAAAAAGAAGACTTTGTATGTTGTTTGCACAAAAAAAAAACAAATTTTCAAATTTTAGGCTAACTTACAAAGAGACACAGCAAGGTGATAAATTGTCAAATCAATGCGATCAAAGCAATAATAAAGAACCGTAATTGACTTCTAATCGAGTATTTATTTGTATTGAGCAAGTAAATGAAAAATCTCAAAACACTTTATACACAAAATTAAAGACGTTTCGTGACGAAGTTGGGAAGAAAGTTGAGGAAACGATTTTTTTGACGGCTTGGATTGTAGACGCTTGGCGGTTCGACGTCTCCACCCTTCGCCACCTGGAAAAATGGTGTTAACAAATATTCAAACACATGAGCTTTTATTAGATCACGATATAAATTCAGTAAGATGCATAGTCTAGACTCGTAGTTGTAATTTGAATGAAAAAGTGCAAAAAAACAAACCCATTGTTTCACTCCTTCCAACGCTTGATGAATATCCTTTCCATAGTGCTTCAATTTTTTCAACGCTTCCGCCGTTTTGATCACATCATCCGATGTGATCTTCTTCAAATTCCCCAAATGGTTGTTCATGTGCTGTTCGAGGATGGCCACCTCTTTTTTGTGAATCTCGAGCATTTTGGCGAGACTCTTATACCGCGCACCTCGTCGGGCCCCCTGAAAGTGAGGGGTTTACGACAAAACTTTATACCAAGCGATTGGTAGGTAGTTTGCTTATCATGCTGTTTATTTCAAAACTTCGTAGAGTTTATTATTTTAGAAACCTTTTCGGGCTTTTAAACTGAACAATACGCTAAACAAGTTATCTTAAAAGTGCGTGACCTAATTGTTGGTGATGTTACTTGATTCACACGTTGCTTCTTTACACAGTTTCAGAATATTTCAAATGATGAGTGATTTTACAAACCTGTTTCTCTTCTAGATCCATAAGAATCAACAGATACTGTTCGGTGATATCATTGTAGGCGGTGATCGAGTTTTCTTTCAGGAAAACACCAAATTGAGCGGCCGCCTTTTGAATCGATCGCATCTCTTGCTCCAACTGCTCTTTTAACAAAGATTTTTGTTCAATCAGAATTTCACAACGTTCACGGTCATCTAAAATTTGTTAATTAATAAAATTGAGTTGAATTAGTAGTTTCTGATTATCCTCGATCTCGATCATTTTATTGACCTTTGTGTTCGATTACTATGCACAATGATGAACAACTATCGTTTAAGAGATTGAATTGAATCACTAGCTTTTTTTTGTTTTTTACCAGCTGAGAGATTTGTTGGGATTTTTTCAATCAATCACCAACTTATTGCTTCTTTCAATCGCTTCTGAACACATTCATCGATCTCTTCTCGATCCTCGTAGACTTTGGCAAAAGAACGATCGACCATCACTTGGGGAAAATTCGGTCCACATTCTTTGCATGTCCATTTACCGTCAACCTAAATATTAAAGTTTTCAAGCTTGAAGTTTTGGTTCAATAGAGATATTTTCACAACGGTTATACCTATCGAACAGATACCAGCTCTATTTTCATTTTGTACAAAGTTGGGATACTCTTGGCTACGAGTCGGAATCTTTAAGCCAGTTTATCAAACATACGAGGCCTTAATTTAGAAATACTCAAGAAATAAACTTGTTAGCCTTAATAGTTACAACAAACCTTTTCAGCGTGCCCACCCCGCACCATCACCACCGGGTTTTTTTTGGCTAGACTCGGATCCGCTTCGATCACCTTGTCCCTCTCGACTCCAGTGTACTCTACATAAGTTGTACAATTCTTGCAAACCATCTCATCTACGTAAGTCATCTTGAAGCGATAGAATCGAACCTGAAAAGTATACAGGGTGCGGCATAAGTATGGTTACAAGGTTGTAACATTGATTTAAGAAACTGATTGATTTTTATTTCTTGCCAAAGCATTATTTTCTCTTAATTCGAATGCTTTTTTATATTATGTGGGAGTTTTTAAGCAAATTTTTAAGTTTGGACATAATGGTGAAGGCTTCTCCCAACCGTGCCGCTATTCTTCAGCTTGGAGCACAAGGACGATCAACTTCGGATATTGCCAAACTACTGAAAATGCATCGAATGACGGTATACCGCATTTTGCAACAAAATAGAGTCGAAGAGCTTCCTAAAAGTGAACGTCCGCCAAAAATTGATCACACGAGACTCAAGAAAGTCATTAAGAAACGAATCAAGCGCAATCCTGCCCGGAGCATGAGAAAAATGGCTCCCCAATTGAATGTTTCTGATAGAACTATCCGTCGTATCGTCAAAAAGGATCTGGGTCTTCACCCTTACAAGTTAAGGAAGCATAATGGCCTGACGGATCTTCAAATGAGAAACACGAAGCAAAAATGTGCTCTTCTTCTTGCGAGGGCCGCAAATGATGAGCGTCTGACGATGCTTTTTACCGACGAGAAATTAGTCAACATTGAGCAAGTTTTCAACTCTCAAAATGATCGAATTTTTGCTCACAGCCCTCAAGAAGCAAATAAAAGTGACCGATTTGTGGACAGGAACTCACATCCAGCAAGAGTCATGCTTTTTGCAGGGTTGTCAGCAACTGGTCGCACACCGTTGATTTTCGTTGATAAAGGGCTGAAAATTAACACAGACGTGTATCTGGACGTTCTCACAAAACATGTACAGCCGTGGAGTCAAGGACATTATCAAAATCAGCGCTGGACGTTGATGCAAGACGGTGTCCCAGCGCACAAAGCAAAAAAGACTCAAGAGTGGTGTCGAAACAATTTGCCCGACTTCATTCCCGCCAATGAATGGCCAGCTAATTCGCCCGACATGAATGTTATGGATTTCTGTGTTTGGGCAATTTTGGAGCAAAAAGCATGCACAACAAAACATGCAAACTTTGAAAGTCTGAAAAAGGCTCTGAAGAAAGCCTGGGCGGAAATTCCACAAAGTACCCTGCGGGCCGCCGTGGAAAGTTATCCAAAGCGTCTTAAAGCCGTTATCAAGAATAAAGGTGCCCATATTGAATAATTTGTTATTTTTAAATGAATATGATTACTGTTGTTAATTTTAAGTTAAATTTACATGAATCCGTTCATATTTCATTACGATACACGGTTCTGAGTCTGTAACCATACTTCTGCCGCACCCTGTAGTTTCAAATTGTTCACTTACTAACCATACCTTTACTTTCAGCACTTTCAACATTTCGCTCTCCTTTCCCCGATTTTCTTGAGCTCTCTTTTCTTGAGCCTTGATCTCGTTAATCGTTTCACCAACCTACAAAATATTTTCTTAACTTTTTTTGGTTTAAATACTTTTGTTCCAATCATTGTTAGTGGTGGTGCCAATTTCTTGATGATTCTTCTCGAGTAATTGAGATGAAGGGTGTCCTCGACTCGATGTGGCGGTGTTTGTAGGGCTTGATCGAGCATCTTCTTCGTTTCATTTGCCGACACTTTGTAGCTCCGAGCATACAAATCGAGAAGGGTTTGATCCTTTTCGGGTTCTTCCTAAATTTCTGACTTGAATTGTTATGTCACTAAAATAATGTCAGTTAAATATTCACTACTCTGTCAATTGTAGTCATCTTATGAATCATAAAATTTTAAATAACTAGGGAAAGGCACGAACTCTTGTCTGGACACCTAGTGCACCTTATAGAATCGGGTATGCGGCATTCGAATTTGAAATCAAAATCAGCCAAATGACTTTCAAGGCGTGTAAAACTTCACTCGAAAATTCGGCGTCAAAACGGATGCTTTAAAAGGCTCATTTCTAGCGGAGAAACGGTAAGTTGGTGGCTAACGCATTAGACGCATTAGAGTTCTGCCCAAATGACCAGGCTTCGGTCCCTGATGCAGCCTTTTGTTTTTCTTTCGGAGTAACTTCTAGCATTTTGCAGGCAAGTAGAGAATGACCTCCAGAGAGGAAAAAATGTGTTTTTCGAGCCGTTTTCATGTTAAATTTTAATTCCTGTCACAAATTTTAAATGTTAATTTTCGCGCAACGTCGCAATCCAATTGACGTCGCTGCCATTTGAAGGTAGTCGATGGGAGTGCCGCGTTGTCGTTTCTTTTTTGTTTTCAAATCATTTATTTTGTGAGTTAATTGGAAGTATTGTTTTACGCGATAAATTTTGTGTTGAAATGAGAAAGCAATCTATTTCCATTTAGGACCCGAGTGGAGAATCCAGAACTTTTCGTAGCCGGACCACAATAAAGGCCAAAACCAACCGTAAGATGGTTTGGGGAGTTGAATGGAAACAACGAAAGCAAGGCTCCTCTTCTGGGACGTTACAAAACTGCTATAGCTCCATATAGTGAAGTTTTGAAGCAAAAAAAAGTGGGCCCCCAAGTAGACTAGTACCCCGAACCTTGATCCTGTGGGTAGAAGCCTAATGCGTTATCCAGAGGCCACCAACTTACCTTTTGGCTAGAAACCTACACAGCTAGAAAGGAACCTTTTAAAGCCTTTTGACGCCAAATTTTCAATCGAAGCTTTACACGCCTTGATATCAATACTCATACCCTGTTAAAAATTGCACTAGGAGTCCAGACAAAAGCTCAGCTCACCACTTGCCTTTCCCTAGTGACAAGTAATTTAAATCAAACGTGATATTACCATTTTGTGCAAATAAGCCAAATATCGATAGGCGATGTTGTCAAAAACGAAGAGATTCTTGTCGTTTAGCACAATTTCGATTCCTTGTCTTTTTTTGATCTCGTTGACTAGTGTTTGTAGCGGGACGATTGTCTCTGATACCTAAAAATAATGCAATTAAAGATTTACAGTTTGTTTTGAAACAAACCTTATATCCCACACCGCTAGCTTTTGTAAAACAAAAGGCAATGTTATGGATGGCTGAACGATGGAATTGCATAATCAGCTCCTAAAACTATCTAATTTAAGTCAATTCATTACTTCAAACCTTGAAGCAGAACTCGAAAGGTGGATCGAGTCGTGCTTCATTTGGGTCCAACAAGAAGCAAATCAAGTTGATTTTGCCCAAATTTCCCATGAAGTTCACGATGTTTTGCATGTTCTCCTTGTCCTTTTCGATTCCCTGACAATCGCCGACGCCCGGTGTGTCGACAATGCAGTAAAGCCGGCGTTGATCCTGGAAATTGAAAAATGATCGCAACGATGGAAACACTGACATTGTTCTTGAAATAATGAGCCCGGGGATGTTGAGTGCATGACATCTTCTCTCTGTAAACTTCGTTCTGGTCATCGCCAATCTTGATCTGAAAGTTTGCTAAAATGCAATTAAGAATAAATTTTCTCGCTTTTCCGTTTTTTTATATCCCACTTCACATCGGCGCGAAAGTACGTTTTCTAAAAAAAAAATTCTGTAAAAATGCGTACTAGATGCAAAAAATTATGGAGAATTCAAAAATCGTAGTTATTTGAAATTTTGTCTGGCTCAATTTCGAGCAAAGTGCGTTTTTGTCAAATTTTCTATGTTAAGTTTTCTTTCCAAGGCTCTAAAATGAATATATCGGAACAAATCAAAAAACCCCGGCGGTTTTGGGTCAAGCTTGTGGCGATGAACATTTTAGCAAAAAAAGATAAAAATCGGATAACTCAGCGTGAAGTTATTAAGTTTTGAAAGAAAACGTTCAAAAACTACCGTAACCTTCACATTTCCGCATTCTAAAAGACACCCTTTTCTAGAGTCGTACGCAAATTTGCTGGCTTTTTAAAATTGTGCAACTTTTCGTTGCCTCTTTTTCATTCTGCTTCGTATTTTTTTTATCTCATCGTCTGCCATCAACAAAGTTAGGTTTTTTCATTAAATTAATGGACGGATGGCTTTGTTGATAGAACTTTTTTAGGATCGTTTCTTCTCCAACTCATGTGCAAGGTTATGTTGAGTATTGTTGTTGCCACCGTCTCGGGAGAGTTGTATTTTGTTTTGCTAAATAAATTTTTTAGCTAAGTAGAAACAAATTTAACATATAGTAACAATATAATAACAAATTTAACTCAAGAAAGCAAGAAACCAAGATCATATAGAAAAACGTTCACGGCACATTTTTTCGCAGTAAATAACAAGTTTTCCATTTCGTCCGAACGTTTGATTTTTTCCGAATTTGCTCAAAAATTGAATGTAAGCCTTCTAATCCTTCTTCAGACATTGCACCTAAGCAACGATGGCGTTGAAGAAATTCCGGCACATGTGCTAGCAATACATGGATCTTTGTTGAGCGGGATCCAATTTCCAATTCTTCAAGTTTTGCGAGCAATGGCTTAATAGAAGTAAGGATTTTTTTAATATCGTCGTCTTTCATGTTTTGCTCAGTGGAGCCAATAGGATTAGAGAATGTCGAAAACTTTTCCAGGCAGTCGGATAGATCCTTATATTTTTGTGAGTTGACTAGAACCTTAAATTCCTCTCGATTTTCACATAATCTCTTCAGCTTCGGACCATTGAGATCTTCCGATTTAAACGATCGCGTGAATCCCAATTTTTGTGCTAATAATGCAAAAGCATCCCATTCAGATGGTGAAGCTTGTCGGGCTTCTTGTTCCAACTCTTTATAGATACGGTTTCCGATGCCGAGCTTTATATGGAGTGATGGAGGAACGACATGCGTCGGTTCAGTCGGCCAAACGTATTTTTGAAAAACACCTTTGCGCAATTCCGAATTATTTGAATCTATTTTGAGTAGTTCGTCAAACGTTTTTATAGATCTTTCCGGATAAATACTCCAATCCAATTTCTCTGGACACCCGTCTATTTTGCGTTGTTTTTTGGCTTTGAAAAACACCAAACGCAAGGATAAGTTGCTGCATTTGATAGTCCATAAAGAGAAGCTAAAAAGCACAGATCGCCTCCAATGAAGACGGTGAATTTCATATCAACAAGCTCTCTATAGACTTCGTTAAATTTTTGTAGACTTTTGTTGTCGTCTCTCCCTTTCCAAACTGCTAGTATTAGGTGATTGTATCTAGATTGAGATTTGTTGCTCTTATCAGGAAACATGACGGTCAATTTTGTCGTTTCAAAACCCTTGTCTGCCATCAGCAAAATTCTCTGTGCCTCTTTGCTGGGCACACGTTTAAGACGGAAACGAAGCGCTTCTTTTATATCCTTCAATTGAACAATCCCGTTTGAAATAACATATTCAACTTTTTTGATTCACTTCGGATATCACCTGTCTCATTTTATACTCACTTGCAAAATGAGCATACTTGCTGTAGAGTCGATGTGAAAAACGAGAAATTTCTGCTTTTGAAAATACAGCTAACGTTTGATGAGGTGAAACAGGAGAAGAAATGGGCAATTTGTTCCTCTTATGCCTCTTGTATTTTGCGCGGATTTGTCGAGCTCGTTGAGCGAAAAATAGCTTTTGTTTCTTCTTATCACTTTTCATTTTTCTGAGAATTTTCATCCTTTTGCTTCTTAGAGGTCGCAATATCTCTTGATTCTGATTTGCTATTTCCAAAGCTTCTCTAACATCCTTTTTGCTATCCAATTGAGCCTTTCTTGCCTTTTGAGCAGCAATTTTCGATTTTTTTGGGCGACTCATCTGAAAAAGGAGCTTAAGAAAGTGAATAAACATAAAAACGGAGAACATGAAAAACGGAAAACATAAAAGCGATTGTTGCCGACAACGAAAAGTTGCACAATTATGAAATTTGCGTACGACTCTAGAAAAGGGTGTCTTTTAGAATGCGGAAATGTGAAGGTTACGGTAGCTTTTGAACGTTTTCTTTCAAAACTTAATAACTCCACGCTGAGTTATCCAATTTTTATCTTTTTTTACTAAAATGTTCATCGCCACAAGCTTGACCCAAAACCGCCGGGGTTTTTTGATTTGTTCCGATATATTCATTTTAGAACCTTGGAAAGAAAACTTAACATAGAAAATTTGACAAAAACGCACTTTGCTCGAAATTGAGCCAGACAAAATTTCAAATAACTACGATTTTTGAATTCTCCATAATTTTTTGCATCTAGTACGCATTTTTACAGAATTTTTTGTTAAAAAACACTTTTTTGCCTTATTTCGCGCCGATGTGCACTTGCTTAAACAGCTCTTTTGGCCACACGAGATGACTACTAGACTAGACTGGACTACTTCTAAAATTTTTAATAACACACTTGTCCTACTGTTACACACAGCACTTGTAGTACTACTATAAGTATTAAAACTTCTTTCACCTTAATGATGTCCGTTTTCTCAGGTGTAACATTTGTGGTGGTGAACTGAAAGGGGATCAAATGAGTGAACTCGTTGGCGGCAGCTGCCTCGAGTGTATCGTGAGAAATATAGGTGGCCGTCGCGTTAATCCACGTCGACTTTCCCACACCAGTCTTGCCGATTACCTGAAAGCAAACTTTTTAAGAACATTAGTGGGGTTTACCAGAATGTTTATCCTCTCATAGGGAGTCAATGTGGATAAGTAGCGTTTGAGTCGTTGCTCATCAAAGGCAAGAAATTCATTTCCGTGAAAATCATTGCAGCAACGGAAAGTGAAACTCGTGACATCACAGGCACCACACCTAAATTTTTTTAATCGATTGTCAGAATTTAAGCAGTTTAGCAACACTAGTTTAGCAAACATTTCATTTAACTAACTTAATCAAATATTTTTGTCTCGCAATTATCAGTGATTCTTTATAAAAATTCTCTATTCCAAATCTTAAAGCACTCACCCGCAGTAGAACTTATTCCCCAGATCATATTCGAGTTCCTTATTGCAACTCTTACAAATCCAAATTCTCGGCTCCTCCGATTGACGACAACATTCAGCATTCGGGCATGGGAGACTGGCTCTGATGAGATTGAGAGAAGGCTTTTGTGAAGGAACCGGATCGGCTGTTCTCTTTGCAAAATTCGTACTACGATAGGTTTCATAATGTGCAAGGCAGTCTGTATCTGTGTATTTTCCATTATCGAAATGACAAATCCGAGTCCCTTCTGGTAGGCCTTCTTTCAATTGGATCTCCGATTGTTCGTCTGCATTGACGGCAATATAGAGATGCTCCTTGTCGTTGAGTGATGCCCAATATTTGAATAGGTTGGTCGTGTAGAGGGCTTGACTATTCTGGTTCCAGATCTTCTTCAACGAGTAGAAAAGTACCTGAAAGTTTATCAGGTTGGCCGGAAAGTCTTGTACGCTTTTTAAATGAATAATGAGCCAATCAATCTATGGTTTTTCTATCAGAAAGTCCTATTATTTATTTACAAATTGCCCTTTAAGAAATTCTGAAAAGCCGTTTTTACTCAAATTCAAATACCTAAAAAAGCCATTTGTTGTTTTTGTTGCTGATCTCTATTAAAATTTTCTACCTTTGAAATCGTATGAGCAAACAATGGCTCAAGTAAAGTTCACAAAAAGACTTCAGTTGTGACATCTTACGTAAATTTTTGCATTTAGAATCTACGCTACATCCGAGTTATTTAAATAGAATTTGCACAAGTGGCTTCACTTGATCAAATACTACTTGTATTTGCCTATCTGTTGAGGCTTAAATGAATCGAAACTTACGACAAAACTTTTCCCATCCGACTTCAGCTTCAGATAATCCGAGTGCGACTTGACAAAAACAATCTCACATCCAGCCATTTCCTCAAAAAATTTCAATGAACCAATCATGTTCGCGAAGCGTTCGTGGAAGTTTTCGACACCCTTCACCGTAGCCCATTCATTGTATTCTTTAAGTGAAATCTCGACGATCTCTTCCCGCGCATCTTCATTGTTGCCTCGAGCTTGTGGGAGAAGAGCTTTCTAAAATAAACTAAAGACTTTCATTGATTTGAAGTTAACATACCACAGCTTTTCTCAAAGTTAATTTGTTCGTTGCACATTGCTCGTAGTAGGCCATGAACTCGTTGAGTTCCTCTTTTGAGAGCTAAATTTGATGAAAATAAAAGAAGTTCTTGAGAAAGTTGAGTCAATTAGATGAATTATTAGATGCTATTCTGATTTTTTTTATTTAAACATCAAAGTTTACCTCCCGGAGCCGACGTTCGATAAAACGACCCATTTGCTCAATCACTTCGAATTGACTCTCTGCATCAATCATTGTTATTGTCAAACGCTCAAGCTAAAAGATTTTTATTTAGTCCTGTTCCAAATAGCTAACCTGTTTTTTGGAAAGTTTTTTGAATGATGCATCCGCTTCATGAGGCATTTTCAGCTCTTTGAAGAGGCTCTTCAAATCGAGCAAAAGGTAGTTTATAGGAATCCTGAAAATGATCTTCATTATTTTGATTAGCGTCGTGTTTATTTGATGGAGTACTAAGCCTTGTACCCAAATTTATTTTCGAATTGAATAAGTCTCAAGCTACCAATACGGTTGTTTCGTTAGATAGCTCAATCATTTCTCTTGCAAATGACTTTTGAAAGTTTTTCATTAGCAAGAAGCTAAGTGTACAAAAACGACAAGGTGCGATGGTGCGATTTCGACCGTTTCTTCCCATGAAACCTATCTTGATGACAAAATAAAAAAGATAGCACACAAAGGTCAGGT